TCGAAATGAATATTTAAAAAAAATTAGTACAAAAAGCGTAAAAGATAAGTTTATCAGTCTATATTTTACTTTCTTTCTTGAATCAGGCAAGTTTATCCATTGATATTTTACTTTGTGTGCACCGCCTAGAAGCACCTCCGTAGTAAATCCCAGCGAGATACGTTGAGGCTATAATATGGTGCTACAGTCGCTTGTGCTGGTGCCGTGCACCTATTACACCTTGTCAGTGGTTTTCTGTTCTTGCCGCAGTGCATAGAGATTTGGGGCACGTATACGCGGCGTCGCTTGTAGAAGCGTACTAGCGGTGCTGTTGTGCAAGTACTCAAAAGACAGAGCAAGATAGCTTCTTGAGCCACGCACGAACTACATTTTTAAGGTCTTATCAAACAAACAGCACTCTAATTACGTATCTGCGAGGGACGGTCTGTTTGCAAAGAAAATCGTGGTTTTAATTTTCAGCGATTGCATGCGACTCGCAACCTTTTTGCGCTTTATCGCTTTCACGCTTCATCGCGCGATCGATGTCTGCGACGACACCAAGTGCCACGAAGCGCTTTGTGCGACCACCCTTTGGCTTAGTATATATTGAGTGCTTTGAGCAAGCTTTTGCACACTTTTACAGTCACGGCGTCTCCACGTTTGATGTCAGCAACTTTATGCTGCTTTTTTCCATGCAGTAACAGAATGTGGCTGTCAATGGTCCTTTTTCACGTTTAGGAATTAGAGGAATGGAATGATGAAGTTTCGCCATTCCAGGAGTGGGAATGGGTCCATTCCGAGGAGTTGAAAGGAATGGAATTGTCGGAAACTCCAATTCCCTGGAATTGGAATTGAAATAACATGGTGGTGTCCATTCCGCAATACTGGAGGACATTTGCATTCTACCTCTTTTTGGGTGGAGCAGTGCAGCGTACTCAGGACAACCAAGCCTATGAAGGTCCTTTCTCGCGGTACATCTTGAGAGACCCGCTCTGTCGAGATATAGATAGGCACTACATACACGAATAGAGAGGGGCGAAAAAGGAAGAAAAACACTTCACGTATATTTCATATCATCTCGCGCCCAATGGTGTACGCTCTTGCGGCGCGCTCGGGTAATTATAGCACAGCGTAATGCTGCCGGATGTCGGCCGATCGTTGATTCCTTTTCCTTCCTCTTCCGCGAACAAAGTTTCGAGTTCGTGTCACGTGCCACCCAGGAAGAGACGCGTGGGTGGTGGGCGCGGACACGCTGCCAAGTCCTGTATAAATAACTTGACCGATGGTACAAGCCTTTCACCGCATGGGACCGCCAACGCAAGTAGCGCAGCAAAGTTGCGGAACTTCTCGTCAGTTCCTCCTTTGTCACCTCAGCACATTCGTTCGCGATTGTGCTACGCCCATTCGCCACCACCTTCAAGCCGCACTCGCACTGCCCTAAGACACGGTGTTGTCCGCAGACACGACGACAGAACTGTCTGCGGACACGTATACGCCTCAAGCACGTTTGATTCATACATGACAAGCATGCTTCCAACATGTCTCTAAAGACAGTTTTTGTGTGGCCAATGTTAGGGGATCGTCCTACAAGGAAGAAACACGACACAGGCAATGTCTGCAGTCTGATGCGTTAGCAGTTTGGCCGCAGTGTGGCTTCCTAGAGATAGTGTGCGACTCCTTCGTGTCTGCGTTCACTGTACGGTGTCCAGACACAATAGAGAGTTTTAGGGAACCGTTTTTGCACGTGCGATACGGTACGATAGGCCCTCCGGTACGAACTGCGCATGCGCAACCGCAAAAGACTCTCGCAGCTCGTACCGGACGGTCCATCTACCGTATCGGATGTGCAAAAACGGTTCCCTAAAACTCCCTAATGCAAAGAAACAACAAGAAGAATGCACGAATTGAATAATGGTACCGTAATCCGTGTCAAGAACCCGTTGACCAATGGCCACAGCCTTATGTACTGGACATTTGAAAGCAATATAATTCGTCGGGTGACCGCGCCAGCAAAGTTAACAAAGTCACAACAATGGCGTAAAGTTTTTTTTGTTTTGTTTTTTCGAGGGGAGGGGGGCTGGGGTGAACATGACTTGGGGTGCAGAGGGGGGCTGAAGCCGCATAAGCATCCCCCTTGGCTACGTCACTGCAGTCAAAGGGCACTTGCGGGCAGCGGGCCGCGTCCCAGAGATTCGCGGGGCGCGTGTTTTAGACTCCTGGACTAGAGTGAGAGCCCGCATTTTGCAGTAACCAACAAAACTGCAAAGCAAACTACGTCCTTCTGCCGTGCAAAAAAAAAAAAAAAAAAAGGAAAAAAAGTTAAAAACCGGATGGGGAGCGCGTTCTGTGAGGACAGCCCTTCACCCCTTGTTCGCGGCGCCTGTGGGACAACGTCGTACTCCCGATCCAATAGACGCACACAATGGACATTGCATCACCTTCCATCCAGAAAATTACTCCGGGTTCAAAGGAAACAATATTCTCACCGCCGTCCAGTCTCCAGTCAATCCTTGTGACGTTGATGGCGTCAAGTCTACCTTGAGGTACGGCGGTACGCGGTGATAAATGACAGGGTACACAAACTACACCCCCTTCTCCTTTTCTTTTCAAAACATGCACACGTTTCTGTCGTTTCTTTTCACTTTTTCTCCCCCTCGAAACACTCGAAGGAGAGCGGTCAGCAAGAGGAGGGGGCGGTCAAGCTTCAACAAGGCCATTCCACGAGTTGCCCAATAACGTACGCGTGCGAGAGCGGCCGCCAAGAACGCGCCAAAAGTGCAGTGATCAAAAACACCCCGACATTGATAGATCACTGTATATGACCAATTTCGCAACTGTCGTTGCTTGTACTAGTGGGAAAGGTAGTCGGGTTTCTCCGATTTGCGGGAGCGTGCACGCACGCTTGCAGAGGCGCGATAATTGGCTTAATTACTGGCAGCGACCGTCGCTATACTTGTTTACGGTGAATATACAGTTCGCTGCAGGGGTTCTTTGGGTTGAGTGCGACGCGGGTGCATTCGCTCCGCGCACACATGCTGCGTCGCGCGTGAATTTAAATGCCGAACAGGGATGAAAGGTACTTGTAAGTTGTGTGTGCATCGTGTATGAATTATGTATAACGGTGGACTGCACACCAATTACGAGATTTGTTGTGCAGTTCAGTGGGGGAACGTAAAGGAAGACTAGCGCACGAGACATGATGACTCTGCGCCTTGTATTTTTACGAGGCCAAAAAAAGAAACAAAGAAAAAAGCGTGCTCTTGTTTACCATTTACTCTAAAAAAAAGTTTGTGCGTCTACTTTCACGCACAACACTCGGAGAGCCAATCACCGCAACTTACGTAGGCAGCTCAGGGAATGACGATGCGGGAACATATGTTTAGACCAAAAAACGCAGTCTGAGTTGTGACGTTAAGCAATGCAAGAGTGACGTTTTGCATCGCTTAATATGTCACAACTCAGACTGTGTTTTTTTATCTAAACATATGTTTCGGCATTGTCATTCGCTGAGCTGTCTCCGTGATTTGCGGCGATTGGCACTCCGAGTGTTGTGCGTGAAAATAGACGCACAGACTTTTTTTTAAATGTTAACGCCTAAAAAAAAAAAAAAAAAAAAAAAAAAAGATTATTATTATTATTTTTTTTTTTTTTCATCTACGCTAGAAAGACGTAGATATGGATTGAGAGAGGTGCAAAGGGCACACACTTCCATACTTCAGGACATATCGATTTGTGCAAACATTTGCGCATCTTATCTTACCTGTGTGTGTGCAGTTCTCTCAGAGTGTTGTCCTGTCCATAGCTCGGGTGTTGTCCGTGCGATAAGGCGACGCGTATAATGCAGACCAGCCGCCGCGGCGTCGGCTACACACACACACACCAAGACAGACTTTCAAGATTGCCTTTTGTGGACTAGCGCCACGCACTGCGTCCTTCCCTCAGCTCCGCGCGTAGAGGATTGAGACAGAGCGGTCGGTGAGCTCCGCTGCCTACTGTTTCGGTTGGGTGAGACACACTGCGTTTAAAAGACGAAAAAAGAAAACGTTTACGCAACCGAGAGCTGCCAAGATGCGGGCGGGCAAACGGGCGAAAGAATAGAAGAAAAAAACGTGGTAGTTGAAACGGGGGTTTGTTTGACGCATGGCGCCACCGCGTGTTCGCTTCCGCAAACGCTGTCACCGTTGCCGCCTGCTCAGCGTGAAGGTCGCGTCGTCTGCTATTGTTTTGTCGCTTTGTCCTCCATAAAACGTACCACCAGATTCTTTTAACACAGAATCTGCTCGAAAGGTTTAATTTCACGCGAAAAGCGGTATGCTCAAGCGTTCCGTAAAAACAAAACAAAAAATTCGCTATACGCAGGCCAACACAACGTAAAGCATGCGGAATAAATAATCACTTCATTATAATTAATTATAATGAGGGCGTTTTGCCCAGACGCGCAACGGGAATCGAACTTCGGACCGTTCGATCCGTAACCAGGCGTTTTGCTCGGCGCCATGAGAAAGCGAACCGGAGCGCAAACAGCTATGGGAACCTGCGAAAGGAGGAGACCGTCGGTGCGACGAGCTGGCTCCCGAATGACGTTGTGTCTCCCAAAGTGATAGCACGACATCACGGGGCAGTTCAAGGATCCAATGGATAGCGCAGAGAGCGTATCCGAAGGCGCTCGCTACACGTACGCTAAAAAAAAAAAAAAAAAAAAAAAACAACTTTGCTTTGATTATTTTGATAAATCCGAAAAGCGCAGGGGTGTGTCGTGCGTACAACGCATCCAGAACCCTTCCCGTAACCAAGCATAAATAACAAGGCAAGCATAAATAACAACACATTCAGCATGCACGACACATTCTGTGCTCTCGGGGTTTTTCAGGATGATCAAGTTTAAAGTTTTATTCTGGTCTATATACTAAAATAAAGCTTGTACAATTCAGAGATTTCGATCCTTCTTATTGTATGCTCGGCTTTCCCAACACTAGTTCGATTTTTTTTTTCTAAACAAATAGTACACCCGAACCCTTCAATTAATAGGCACTGAATAATGATTTATTAATAATACAGATGCATGAAAAAAAATACAAATATTTCTCTATAACGATAATATAATGCACTTTTACAATGGCACAAAGTTTACATATACATGTGGCAAAAAATATATGTATCAGCTTCTTGCTTTGCAATGATTAGTATAATATATAATCCAAGATACACATAGGTCGCACTGTACAGCTTAAATTACCATATATCTCTTCAACATACAATATACAAGACAGTAATATGTAACAACCAAACAACAAAACAGTCCTCTTCCAGGTTAGCCCAGTCTCCTGACTAGTCTTTCGCCCATTGTCCGCTGCACCAAGCTGACATTTTCAGTCATGTTCAAGGTAGCCACTCTCTTTTACCACGCCACAATTAACAAGCTCCAAACGCATAAAAAAAAACAAGGCAATAAAAAGGTAAAAAAAAAAAAGAAGATCATAATTTGACTAGATAAACATAATTTGTTTCAAATGTCTCAGTTTAAAAACTCGGGCCTCGCACGAGTACTAGGCCCGCGAAAACAAAGCCAAGTTGCATTTCCCGCACAAAAGTAACTATACACAACTAATGCATATATGCAAAAGTGGAAAAAAAAAAGCAACAAAAAATTACATTTTTTATGTACAGGCACACCCAAAATATAGTACAGAGCACTTGACCATAACGGCATTCGGCAAAAGCTTCCACCTCTCAAAACTTTGAATGTGACAAAAACAATAAAAACAGGTACCAAGACAAGCAGTTTGTGCCATGTCCCCATGCTTTGGGCAACAGTTTCTCACTCCTTAAAAAAGAAAAAAAAAGAAGAAAATGAAGGTCAGCTGTTTAAATTGTTTCAGACCTGCCTCGGTGCATTTCGAGCTAAAGCAAGATTGAAACCTCGGATTATACGACGACACAGCAGCCACGGTGCTTTCGACTCCAAATGGTGTGAGGATGGGATGCAAACTTTCAACAGTGTTGTTGTTCTATGTTTTGCGTAATGGACACATGACAACTGACCGGCCTGGGCATACTTTGTCTTGACCTTGAATCGAGGATGAGACGGAATAGGACCTCTCATTTGTACACAACAATGGCAGAACAAAAACGTTTCTTTGCCTCCTGTCACCTCCCTGTCTTGATACACGCAAATTTAACGTTGACTCAACAAGAAGCTGCTTGTTTGGGATGATCACCAATTTCATTATTTACAAAAGAAACAGGAAAAGAATCAGATCCTCTGCAACTGTGCGCCCACACATAGAGAGAGTAGATGGGTTCAGGCTTATACACGAGAAACACCTAGGAAAGCTGACGGCAGAGTGCTTTACATAAAAATGTCGCTGCTTGCTTGTTGCTCTCATGACACACATAGCACATAGCATGTAGAGGACTAACACCGAACAGTCAAAAAGAAGACGAAAGGGAGCGCACAAAAGCAGAGGGGTCGACCACCACAGCGGGGTTCAACATTGCACACTCGCAGAAAAACTTTAAAAGAAAAAAAAAACGTTCTAGACCTGCTCCGCAGTACGAGGCATGCGTATAACACACATTCCAAAAGTTCTCTTGTCCTAAGCAGCTGTGCAGGTTGAGTGCATGTTCATTTCGTGTGTGTGTGCAACTTATAACAAGTATCAGATGGTTCTCTCTTAAAATGGCTGCACTAGACAAATACCGAGTGACGTGGGGGGTAGCTTTGCACTGTTTGTTTTCCACGACCGTATCCACCAATTGGATGACTTTGTATGGCGGAGGGTGTTCGTACGACGAAACGACGGCTTTACGAGTCAGAGAAGATTTTCCTTCTCTCGCGTCAATAAAGAATGGTTTCAGACGACGATCCCACCTTCGCTACTTCCTCTCCTTGACACATAGGCCACGGTAGAAAAAGCCGGCACACAAGTCCAACTGGGTAAGTCATCTCCTCAAATCACCGAGGAGATGCACAGCGCACACTTGACTAGCATGTAGGACAAAGGAAATGACTCGGAGTGAAACTTATTACACTCAAAACGTCTAATGCCCATTTCCAAAATGCTTAGCAGCAAACGGTGGTATAAAATACATCAAGCCCTAGGAGAAACTGCATCATCTGCAGTTTTTCATTCTACTCTTTTTTTTTTTTTTTCCTTTTCTAATTCGAGAGCTAAATTGTATCAGGTCAGCTCAGCTAGCTAAAGATACTTGGATGCACCAGGGTATGGTATGGTATATAAAGCGCACATTCTAAAAAGTTCCGGCACACCTAGAGGTGTGTGTATATATACTTCTAAACACAACTCGTCTCTTTCCTTCGCCAAGTACCCATGACGTTTTTGAGTTGAATGCTTAGTCGACACATACACTGCGTACAGTGGTTGAACCGCTGATGTCACATAGCATGAAAGGTGTAAAACTTGTCTAAAGAATGCCCTGTTCCTGAAGTATGCAACGGGATGGGGAATACTAAAAGAAGTCCTATCCACCAGCTCACTTGTGTCGTGCCAAGGGCAGCCAGATGGCTACAAAATATGCAACCGTTTTATTGAGAAACCATCTTCCTTTCGGCAGATGGTAAATGTGCTCCACAGAGCCTGCTCAGTTCAACTTGCTGCAAAGTTCCTTCTGAAGTGAATGCATTCCAACATTTGAGAGAGTGGAGAGTTCCACTTGAACTTATATCTAAATGGACGCTACGGAAACGATGCATTCCTTCTCGTTAGCAGGTTCGTTCCAAATGTCTAAGTCCGAAAAGAATTCGAGAAAGAAAAAAAGCTTTTATACCAAATTTCTAGCACTGATATAAACACGTTTCATTGGCACAGCTTCCAAATCGTACCGAAGCCCCCCGCAGGAACAATCTAAAAAAACAATGAGAGAGTAAAATCGTAACAGGCATATCTTCGCTACCACCTGCCGGCAACACCCGGTAAGACGTCATGTGCGTCGGGATGTAGATCACTCCAACACTTTGTCTGAAGCAGGTTTTACGGACGACGAAAGCCGAATCCGAGATTAGTCTGCAGTAACCTCCGGAACATTCGACGCACGTTGAACTGTCTGTGGACTACCCCACGAACGACAGATGGTAGACGATCCTGACGAGCGCCGTAGTTGGATGGTCCTGCGTTTCGTCGTTTGTAACTGCACCGCCACTGCACTGTCCCATGTGTGGAGCACATTTTACATTGTTTATCCTCCTCGGTAGTGTGCATCGGCACGTGTTCCTTGGCTCTTTGGGCGAGGGACGTGCATGTCCCCCCAGCTTCCTGTGCAATCTTCGTCGCTTGGGTCGGTTACTTGTCTTGGTCCTCTTCCATCGGCTCATCTTCCTGAGGCGGTTCTGACTTGGGACCACTGTTGGTTGAAAAAAAGGAACAAGGTCAATGTCTTAACTTCCGTTACGGCACAAAAACCACTGCCTGACAGCATATCAAATATCTCCAGGAGGCCTTTTCTTTCAAATAACTTAGCTGAGACAGATTCCCAGGTGCTCATTCCGTTCTAAAGCCTCCCAGTGAGAAACGACCAAAGGACGACTAAAAAAAACTCTTGAAGTCATGTTGCCTCGCGTTCGGCTTTTATAATCTCGTCTGAGCGATTCCGAGAGATGCTTTTATTTTGGGGACGATGTCTTGAAACAGAATGAGGCCTGTTCCATAAATATTGCACTAAAACTTTTTTCTGAGGGGAATCTTTATTTTGTAAAATAAATGTCCTATCTCATCACTTAAAAGAAATAAGATTGGGAGCTTAGCAGTTTTTAAAACTTGCTCCAAAGTTTTAACGAGCAATGAGCGAGTTAATGAGTCAATGAGCAAGTCCGCAACATAGTGCGGCTTCGCTCGCGTTATGATGAAACGGAGTATGCGGAGTGCAAGTTCCGTCTGCTCCTTTTGCAGGGGTTGTAGTGACATCAGAATGCCGAGCTCTGATTGGCTCTGATTGAAGGATAGTGGGTAGACCTCAAGGCAGCTTTAGCAGTGAAATAACGGTTTACTGAAATAACGGTTTGGGAAACTTCCCGTATCAGCGTTTTTTTGGCATAGAAAATTCACCTAGGGTTATTTCAGACACATCGAATGAGGGTTTCCATGGTGCGGGTTTAAATACTGGTTGAGGCTCAAAGGGTACCAATGTTTGCTTACTGCATCTGCACCGCCATGGAAAGCGAGGCCAGGGCTGTCACCGTCTCCACCTCCTCCTTGTCCTTCTGCTGAGCGTCCAAAAGCGAGGAGCCGATGGTTGGTGCCCACTTCTTGATGCAAGGCCAGTGTGGAGCTGCAAAGAAAGTGGGAACACTATGGTTAAAAAAAAAAAGAAGCCCTTTAGAGGTAGGTACAGTCTACAACAATGTGAAAGACTCATTCACGAAGGTGGTTTATGCGACCGTGCTAAGCACACTCTAGCCAGAAACGCTTCATTTTAAGGCAGAGAGTAGACCAAAGGTTCGTTTATTTCCTCACCCCAAGCAATATGACTCTGGCCAAACTGAATCCAGCACAGTCACCTAAAACTGCCTGGTCGAATGGGTCTTTCATACTGGTGGAGACTGTACCGACAGCATCTTACTCAATTTCACCACATGGCAACACTAGGCCTATAAATATGGAATGGAGATGACAAAAATTGTCTCTTGCCATTATTTGAACCCAACGGCGAGCCATTGGGTTCAGAAACATAAAAAAAGTCTGCTTATCTTCATACTTCTTCATAACCACAAGAGGTGTGTGAATATTGAAAACATTGAATATTTTGAGAATAGTGTTGTGTTTGCTATCCAATTCGATTTGCAGCAAACTTTTACTGTTGGATTTCTCGTGTCAAGTTTCACCGCGTCAGACTAGTGCTTTGGAATCAAGCTTCACTGCTTTTCACATGTGTGCTAGGAGAAACGGTCAACTTGTAGGAGTACCTCTGTTCCATCGATGGTCTCGTAAATATTGCTCTACATTGTATGTGAGCCTTCCAACTATAATATAGTTTAGCCCTTGAAGAAAATCTCAAGCTATATATTCAAATAAATAAGGTAGTCTATCTTGCTTGCCAAGTTACATTTTGTTTTACCAAACACACCTTATCAGGGCCTTTTCTTTGTTATAGGGGTGCTCCACAAGTCTTTTAAGCTACCTCAACTAACCATTGTTACTCGAATGTAATGCGACCACAACTGTAATACGAGGGTTGACTTTTCACAGCGCCAAAAAAAACAAGAAAAAAAGAACACAAATGCAACGCGAGTAAAGTGAGGGGAAAAAAAACCTTTAATTATGTTGCACATAGTGGCCAACACCTGCAGTTTCTAAAAATAAAATGAGTTTACTCGTCGCTTTCCCCATCGGTGACGGCCACAACAAGGTCTGCGGAAGCCTTTTCGGCTGGGCTCACACTTGAAGAGCGCTCACGCTGGAGCCTCCACCCACGGATAGTCGATTCTGTCACATCTAGCCGTCGAGCTGCAGCAGAGTTTTCAATTTCCTCAGCCATCAGAATTGCACTTTTTTTAAAGCGGGCGTCATACTGAGCCCATTGCGTTGCCATTTGCTTGAGTCCAGTCGCAGAAACACGACGCAGAAGCCAGCGAAACTTGGGGACTCAGTCAGCTCAGTCGTGCTCGGACACATGGTTAAGCTAACCCTAACATGGGTGCAACGAGTCACAAACAAGAATAGGATTAGATTGGCTGTTGCCAGCACAAGATTGAAAGATCACAAGATTTGTAGTAGCCATTTTAAAGAGCCTGTGCCACGACACCGCCAAGGCAAATTTTGAGGCGTTTCGATTATTACGCGAACCCCCAAATTAGGCGAGGGAAATTTTGAAAAAAAAAAAAACTCACGTTACGTTCGAGTAAATACGGTAACCATATTTTCTGACCCCCCACCCTTAGCTTTTCCGGTATGCTATTTAGTATCGCGAAATTCATAATAGTTATTAAGAAATCGGCAAATGAAAACTAACATTCAAATATGCCACACTTCTCAGTGCCGTGACGTCAATGGCAGGCAGGCTTGCCAGTTGAGCAAGCAGTCTAAAAAATAGTATATGCCAATCATTTGTTTCGTGCTCCAGCTCGGGTACTGGAGCGAGCTTCCAAAGCATTCATTTGACACCATGAAACTGTTTCAAATCAGCTGGGAACCAATTCTACAGTCCAAAGAGTCAACCCCTGCTTTCCAGTGACGTCACTTTTTCGTTGTCGCCAGCAGAGACTTTCAGTTTGAAAAACATGGTGAGGTACCAAAACTGTAAATTCAATAACTTTGCGAAAGAACAATATTTTGACCTAATATTTGGGATACTATTTTAGCAACGTTTGTTGGTGAGTTTAGCAAAATTTCAAGCAAATCGGAGACAATGAAAAAACCTGTGGAGTACCCTTTTAACAGAAGTGTGCGAAATGCTTCCTATGTAATAAATCTTTTAAATAAAAGTCTGACATCAATATATAATTTGAACTCCCGAACAACTGCTTTCCCTTTTGTCCGTTGCTGCGGTGTGGTAGGGTGGCAGAGCTACAAGCAAGCACTGGCTATTCCACATTCAGTTGGCAGTGAATCCCTGAAAGTATGTTTTCTCATCCATCCACAGCTGCGATGCGGAAAAGTGGTACGGCTGTGAACCTGCTGCACGCCGAGTTCGAGCGACAGGCACGGCAGACTGACCTTGAATGGCCGCCGTCCTCTGAAGCACCTGGACGGCTGCCCCACAGGGTTGCCGGGTGACCTCTTCTTCTCTCAGCGGACTCACTTCGTCTCCGAGGAGCGCCGCCACGCACTCCTGGGAGCAGTCGCAGATAGAGGGGAGGTCATACCTGCACGGCCAAAAGGGGTGGTCAGTTTCTTGGTTCTGCTTTTAGTGACCAAAAGCAAATTATAAAAACAAATATTGTCTTTGGGCTGTGGGGATCCCTTTTACAGCGACAGCGGTTATACACACTTCCCAGCAGCATTCGCTTTGTCGGCATTGTGCCGGCCAAAAAACTGTAACAGGACACAAAGCTGTGTCACATGTCATACTGTGTAACATGTCACAGGTGTCACCTGTGACATCAGGCACAGCACATGCACTTAGATTTTGCGAGGCAGCGATGTCTTCTACTTCTACAGTTGTCGGGGGCCACCACAACACAATCCTCACCATAAAGTTTGATTTGTATACACTATTAAATGTAAAGCAAGCCACCACTTGTAATGGTGCCTGTCCCAATTTAATCTTAGGCAGGGATGTTCAGTTGTCTGTGAAGTGTACTTCCTTTCCCACAAACTTTAGTGACCAAAAAGCTGTGTTGTGTGTCATTGAGTAAATAAAGAAGAGATATGCATAAAAGTGGCTGTTGCTAAGTGCAATAACAGCTGATGCTGTCACTCCTTTGCACATTGTGGCGAAAAGCTGCAGATTTTAATAATCGGGACAGGAATTTCGAAATACTGGTAAAAGAGTGATGCTAAAGTTGGTTTAAAATTGAGTGCTGGGCAAAATCGCCTAAAATAAATGAACCCCAATGCTTCTGAAAGATATTATAGACAGCAGAAAAATGGCTCACATATGAAATGACATTGCAACCATGAAGTGATCATCAGTTCGCTAGCTGCATTAGCTCTATCTTCACAAATAAAGACATTTTTGTTTTTTACATAATGTACGTCCACCACCAGATTAGGTTGCACAGTCCAGGGATCCTGGGTTCAATCCCTGACCCTGCCCGTTTTGATCTGGATAGCTACCGATGGTACTGCACTGGCTAAATTTCTTACCTACAATGGAAACACTAGATGCTCACTGGGGATGACTAACTTCCCACACAATTACGATTACTTTTAAAAATTTGGTCGAGGATCCCTCTGTTAGGTGCAATCTCAGTACTAGCCAACTAGTCTGCAAAACTTGCCAACTTGACAACGCTTTGAAAGTTTGCTTTAGAAGAAATATAGTTAAACGGCTAGTGCAAATGATTATGTTGCACCGGTCAGGTTACAAGAATGCCTGGGAACACAACCACCAGGAAAAAGGTCACTCACCCTCCTTCCAGTGCCAACACAACTTTTCCCTTTGCCAAGGTCATGAGTTGCTTTGTCATGTAGGCAAAGCCTGAAAAAGAGGAATATACACTTGTTCACGCATTGGCTTACTCACTCCAAAAAATATTCAAGCATTTTAACCGCAGTTTCTGTATCATGTGTATGCATTCCAAGCAAGTTTTGCTCATATATATCCAACTGTCGTGACAGCAGAATCATTGTATATAAGTAGTTCCTTGATATTAATCAGTCCTGATCAAATGGTTCAGGGTCAGCTAAAACAATATGCTCCAGGGCTTTTCCACAGCGCATTAATAACTGATAATAACTGAAAGAAAAATTAAGGGTGCAGGTCAGCTGGTGAATACTAGGCAATGTAATAAACCGGAGGCCCGGAAAGCGTCAATAAACTATGCATTGCAAAATACTGGAACTTCACGGGAATGCAGCCTTCCATGGATGACTGAATCCGATACTTTCAGCCTAATACAATAGCTGCGTCAAAGGTCAACATATTTTTGTGGAACTTTTGTAAAAAGCCAGAGTAATCCGTCGGCAGCGGCTGCCAGCCAGCTACTTCTCATTGGCTCTACTAAATGGCCCAGCTTCACACACAACCGAGAACTGTTCGCTGCTTTCACAAATTCTCTTTTGCCCAGTTGAACACCACCCAGGTTATCTACGAGCCATAGTATGAAGTAGCCATCCAATGTCCATTGTCAATGGAGAATGCTGGAATTTCACACAAAACAGACCTTTTGTCATTTCAATAAGCCTTTACTTGATAGTTAACGCTTTGTTTAGTGCTGGCAATCGCTTTTGCCCTGGCTAAATTCTTGGCTCTTCATCGTAAGTAGTCATGTGCCAACTAGCCCACCAAACTATCCTAACTCCTTAAAAGATTGCTTCTAAATTTTGGCACAGGTGACATATCGAGCTTTATCTCTCGCATTCGGCGACCACTAACAGGACCATCTTTGGATGAAGCTTCAACATTCTATCATGCACGGCTCATTCATGCGCTGTAAAGAACTCCTAAAGAGTTTTGTTGGGAGACCCTCTACATTTCTTCAAATGATCTTCATAGAGTACTAATCTTTTTACAATTTTTGTTTTGCATGCAGACACAGGAGATGGCTTACACGCTGGTGATATCTGGTAGCCACCAAGCGGGGGCGGGTGACCTGCGGCCGCATCAAAGCCAGCTGCCACCAGCACGATCTCAGGGTCGAAGTCCCGCGCGATCGGCATCACAATGGTCCTGTGTAAAGACAAATGAGGAGCGAATGTGAGGTTCGAGTGTAAGCTCAGGCTCGGAGTCGTTTGAGCGTGGTAGACTCTAGTTTTGTAGTCCTCAATCAAGTCACCGAAAGAAATATCACTAAAAGCTATTGCCCACTTGATGTCCCCCTTGACTCTCCTAAAACAAAACTAACAAAATGCAGAATTTTAATTTCTTTGACAACAAGCGTAACTATGGAGAAAAAAAAAAGTGACCAAACCAGATTAGTGACTGCAACCAGCATGAACATTGCATAAATGACTTGTACTGTGCTAGTTATAGCTCAAATAAGAAAAACATTATAAACAAAAGAATGTTAAGCATGAACAGCATCTGGAGAAAGGTTACCCTTGTTGAAACAAAGCAACAGTAGTATAAAGTTAGAATAAGAAAAAGCTAGAATAGCCTTCCTCATTTACTTAGCCATAGATGAGGCTATGCAGTATTCAAGTTGAAATTAAAAAAAGTTGCAAGTCATAATTATGACTTGCAACTTTTTAACTTCAAGTTATAGTACAGAGCCTGCATCAGAACAGAAAGATTATTATAGAGCAGATACATGATAACTTGGAATTACATAAAACTTGAAACTGTATAACTTGAAACTATAATTTGGAATTATACAAGATATATAAAAGACAGCTGAATTTCATTCCAGTTTATTCATTTGGAAATGCTTAACATTTTGGTACAATTAACTTGGATGTCTGTTCCCATAGCTCATTGCCTGAGGAAAAAAGAAAACCTGGATTCAAAAGTCTGAAGCAATTCAAGTATGTACATGAATACTTCAAAATGATAAATAATTCGGGATCATGAAGGAGTAAACAGGTAATGTTACCTGAAAGCTGCAATGTACTCTGCATCTCCCATCGGCGGATTCAGTGTCCCAGACCACGCAATGTTGACGTTGAACCCCGTTCCATCTTCGACCCCAACCTGCAAGGATGCAGCATCCAGACATTGGCTACTGAAACTCATTGATTTAACCAGTCACAATTCAGAATATTTGCAGATGAGCCTTAGATCCTCACTCGTGTTAACCTCTGCTATGAGCTGGCAGACTTAGTTTCCATTTGTGATATTACTCTGACAGGTTTGGTTGCAAGATCATTTAAAGTGCATGCTCATCATATCATCAACATATCATGTTGATGATATGATTCGAGCTGTTGGTTAGCACAAGAGAAAAATAAACATTGATTGATTGAAACATTGATGTATGACTGGCCAAAAGAGGGTTGATATGGCTCACCAAGTACAGAAAGTTAGAATGGACCTTCCTTTTAGTCTCCAATGTCTAGACATTCAGGCATCTGTCCATATCCTTCAGTTACCGTATTTACACAAATGTAGGTCGACCCATTTTTCAATCTTTTAATCGTAATATCAAGAACACCTTAGCTTGTTACGAGTTTAGCCGGCTGTAACTGTAGTATTGCACTATTCTGTGCACTCATTTTACAAGTTCTTTTTCTTTTTTTAATGTGCGAACGAGTATTATTGATAGCGATTCGCAAATTAGCCCAAATGTACGGCGGTGAACAGCGCACGGTGCGCCCGACTCCAGGGGGTGGCGGCACTTCTTGTAAAAGCCATTCCGGAGGCCACTGGAACAGCCCCACGCCTCACTCCCCGCGACTTCTTTTCGCAGCTTTTCGCACGATTCACGGTCGCACACCGTTTGATCGAGTGTCAAGATCACGCGGAGTGCCAACTACGTTTTTTTGTGCGCACGTGATTTGGGCACTTTAAGATTCTTGGTGCTCCTTTATGGCCATTCTTCATCCAGAAGTAACCAACAACTGTGCTATAATAAGGTAGAAAGTTGGGCTAGTTGGGCTAGAAGTAACCAACAACTGTGCTGCTGGATGCAAATTCGATCCGTAGGAGCGGATGGTGCTCCAGTGGAATCTGCAATGGCGCGGGATCTTAACTGAGATGGCACATGAAGAGGCTTTCGTGGGCCAAAATCTGGATAAGTGGGGATACCTTCCCAGAGCTGGAGGTCAGGCTTGCAATGTACGCCGCAAAAGTGCAGAGTCGGACCCTACCTGTGACATGCAACGCAATCACCGAGCAAGAGTGGAAGATGCGGTTGAGGCTGTCATTTTCGAAGCGCGATATTTTATTGGACGACGCCGACGACATGCTTTGAGAACCACGGGAGAGGCATCACCAGTGCGGACGAATAGTAGTCTCTAGTCGCGGAAAGAGTGAGAACGACAGGGAGCGGCTTCAGTTGTCCCACCTACAGCGTGAGCTTCATTGCTTCAGTAACGCCTGGGCATCTATGCGCCTTGTGCACGCATGAGCAGCCAAAGCCCGCCAGAAGGCGTCGGTCGCGTGCTGGAGACTGGGTGTTCGAAAGAGATATTCTGCCGTTCTCGCATGTTCGCCATAAAATGCGCCTCTAAAAATATTTTTTTTTTTCCTGATGTGCAATGTCGACTTACAATCGTGTAAATACGATAGTTTCCCGAGTCTTGGACATCCTCATGAAACTATACCAGCTCACCTACCCGATTGCTTCAACTTCAATATCTGAGACTTTCAGAAAAAATTACGGTGAACAGGATTTACAAACAAGTGGAATCAAGCAATAGAGGCAGGAAAGAGGACGCCATATCTCACCTCTTGGGGATCTCCCGTCCCGGGGAAGAAATTTCCGTCGTCGTGCCGGTGGAGAGAGACGTACAAAACATGGGGGTCGTCGTAGAAGATCTGCTGCAGTCCATTCCCATGGTGGACGTCCTGAAATAGTAAATATGGGTCGATTGTCCGATCAATCGTCGACACTTTATGCCGAACATTCAAAGCTAGAATATGTCTCAAAGCAATTGCACCATGACAGGCAATGCATTTCATATAAAGAGCAGTCCAGCAAGCAAATTCTGTCTCACTTCACAAAGAGACAAAATAGTGAACAAGAAGTATAAACATCAAGTCCCAATGTCATTCTTTTTTTTTGCTTCTCTCTGTGGTTACAGTCTATAGACTCAAAATATGACTACTGTAGTGCTTGCTGCAGGCGGGACGACCAAAGGACCTCCGTGCCGTTTTCACTCTGTGAGCGACTATAGTTGCACAATGTCGAGCACGATTATAAGCACGCTAATTGCAACAAGCCCAGCAATTACACTCACCCAGTCGATGACGAGGATTTTCTCCATCTTGAGCTTCTGCCGCAGTTGCTTGGCTGCTATCGCCACAGAGTTGAAGAAGCAGAAGCCCCTGAACGAAAAGAGTCATTCATTATTACGCCGCCACTTTGTCTTCGTTACAATTCCACCGAAAAACAGGGAGTATATGGCAAGGCACTAACATTGCTTGCTTGAACTCGGCATGATGCCCGGGGGGACGAACCATGGCGAAACCGTTCTGCAAAAAGAAATAGAAAACACTAATGAGTGTGTTGTAATAAATTGAGAAATTGTGGCTCGATATGTTTGAGCAAAATGTCTGATGACAAAACGGCGGTCACATCTTGCCTCCTTTATTGAAAGACTCCAGAAATGAAGCTACTATAACGCTGGTTCCTTGGGATGCAACAATGCAGCTCTGTACAACACTATCAAAAATATACTGTAAGGCTCGTCTTGTCATTCAAACTGTGCCATAGACCTTTTTCATGCGGGCATTGCCACCTTGATTTGAGGAACTTCCGGTACGGGTTAAGACATTGTTTAGCTCTTGCCATGCTTTGGGAAGTGTTCACATTTTGATCACGACTATCGTTCGTTCTTGTTTTGTCTAATCCATACATTTTTTTTTATTACTTATTCTAGGTTGTGAAGCCTTTATTTTTTTTTCTTCTGCATACTAGATATGTGAACTAGTATGTGGGTGGGGCTGAAAGTAAACGGAAAAGGTCTATACTAGAGTTAGGATCAATTAGAAAGATTAACCTTTCAATTAATCAAATAATGCCTTAATCACAATCAATATTTTAATGGGTAAATCGGCTAGGTTCAGATGGAGTTTGAAAAAAATGTGGGGAATGGGAAAGGCCCACTTTGTTAGTTGGTGCTACTATTTTTATTTTAGGAGGCAGCACTGTTTTCTTTTATGGTAAAGCACTTAAGCATTTAATATGATTGTCATCTACAGTGAAATATGGGTTAAACCTGTTTTTCCCACATGCTTCCTTTTTGTGGGTGGTAAGTAGTAATTTTCAAATAAGACTACCGTAAAATACCAAGCATCTGCCCACTCAACACTAAGCGCCCACCCCTCAATTTTGTAACATCCAGAAAAAAACACAGAATACATATCTTTACATATTCTTAGAGGAGCTGTGCAACGATTTTAACGTTGAAAGAATTGGCATCTTCTACTTTTGACATTGTTCACCTTGTCACAAAGGACAGAAAACACACCTCCTTCCTTCAAAATGTTGCGATTCCGCCGCGTAATAGCGAGGCAAAAATTAGAATATTCACCGACCTGCAGCCGCAAGAGGCGGCCATGAGAAACACACAGCGTGACGTCAATCTCGTAAAAATATAGCAAGTTGTGTGGACACCTGCTCGATAAAAGGTAACTTTTCTATAAATCTTGTCATTCCAACATAAATATAAATGCGTCAAAAACCTGGTATCATCGACAAAACTCTTATTATACGGAGTTTTAGTGACGCCATCTATCCTAGGTCCACAAAACCGTCAGCTCTATCTGCTACCGCGAACAGCTGCCAGAAGCCGGAGGGGGAGGGGGACAGGGCCGGACAGGGATGGCCGGACCCGAATGAGACTTTCCTCCTTTCACCATATTGTTCGCGCTGTGCCCGCCAGCATGGTCGCGCGGTCACGAGCGGATAAGTTCTTGCAGCTCACTGATGGCTCTAGAGAGAGAGCTTCACCGGAACCCCGCACAACCCCCATTGACGTCACAGCGCAAGTGACTCGGAAGATGGTGAAGGAGTTGAGAGGAACCAAAAACTTCAATCTTTGTTAATTTTCAAAATAAAACTAGGACATGCAAGCAAAAGCGTTTTTTTTTTTTTTTTTTTTTTGTTCTTTACTTCAGAAAGGTCGAGACACCAGCTCCCAAATTATCTAAGCAAAGCACTGAAACTGTTGCACAGCTCCTTTAACCTAAGAAGCGCCCACCCCACAATTTTACATGATTACCTCCAAATTTTGAGTGGGCCCTTGCTTGGGGATTTTAGTATGTATATTGCACCATTCATGACACAGTATAAGAAATAGTCAAATGGAAAATGTTTAGTTTTGTCACTTCTTTTACACCTGGTGCATGTCAACAAAACAGATTAATAGATTGATAAATCAAATAAGGATAGCAATTAATCAAAATAAATATTTTAATTGACGTCCAGCCCCGGTCTATAGTTAGGCAAGCAGGCATGAAGAGAGAGACTAAACAAACGAGGAAGGAAAGGTATTAACAGAATTAGGGGCATATCTCTCTGCAGGTTTGTGAGAAGTACTACTGTTTCACTTCACCTTGGCTTCCCCCGTGGCCACTTTGAAGGACAGCTCGATGACGCAACCAGTCGCCATGCGCGCTGCACTGGCCGTGTGCAGCTCGTTCCACGTCGTGTCCGAGTCGACGCCGATCCCGCCGCAGGGGAGCATCACGAAGCTCTTGATGGGAAGCTCTGCGTGGGCAGCAGGAAAACGACAATCGGCAACTCAGAGATTCTCCGCTCATTGCCGCTGCTGATCGTAAGTAACGAAACTAGGCACGTGCGAATAGTAAATTTTGAGTTTGAAGCGAATAGTGGTTTTGGTCATATATTTTTTAATCGAATTTCACACGGTTTTCCTAAGCCTTTCACTACTGCACCTTGCTCAAAAGAAAATCCAGCTGGAACTCATGAACGTTGTTCACAAGCGTCCACTTATCCAATGCGAAGCTAATTTTAATTTCACTAATTTATCGACTGTATAGCCTTAAAAAGTTCAATGCTTACATTGGAATGACAAATAAACAACAAATTTGACATAAAATGAAACCTATGAAGATGCCCAGCTATACGTAATCGAGGGGACTTATAAATATTCTTGTTATAAGCAAATATCTTTTCTTCAATCACGAATGATTTACGAAGGTTGTCAAAGCCCCTCTGCCTAAAAATTTCAAAAATTTTACTGCAATGTAGATATAAACACTCACAAAGTTTTTGCTTCTTTTTAAATACACCGGGCACACATGTGCACCAGTTTGCTTTGAAACTGCCTAAGCACGCGACTGTGATATTCATACTTTTCAAAGTGCTGATCCTGGCAAGTTAGTCTTGTCGAGTGTGCTTCTTAACGAGCACTGGTGCAATGCAGAGAAGCAACATCCACAAAAGCATGCTTTGCAGGTGCTGCTTTCCCGCAGTGCGCTGGTGCTTGGTAAGAAGCGCGCTCCACGGGGCTAACCTGTTGCGGTGAACACTTGGAAAAATATGAGTATTGCAGTTCATCTCGAAGCGAATATCGAATAACATATTATTAAAAAAAACATTTCTCCCAAGCACGCATCGGGATATTCATATACTTTCTTAAGTGTTGACCGCGGCGGGTTACCCCGTTGAGTGCGCTTCTTATAGAGCACCGGCGTACTGCGGAGAAGCTAGTACCACGAAGCTCGCTTCTGTGGGTGTCTTCTCCGCAGTGCACCCAATGCTCGGCAAGAAGTGCATTCAACGAGGCTAACCCACTGCAATCAACACTTCGAAAAACACTCATATCACAGTTCATCTCGAAGCGAATATTGAATAGTGCATTATTTGAAACTAATATTCGAAATTTCGAATATTCGCACACCAGGCGAGAGCCTTATATGTCTCATCGTTCAGTCGACCTTCAAAGTCCTTGAGCGAAAACACGTCGGTGACACGAAAGGTACCAAAACCCACGGTTCGCCACTGGACCACGAGATGGCGTTACTTGTGCCAGAATCGGCGGAGGCACGAGCACGGTGCAAACCCGGCGGGAGAGGACTCTGTCGCTTGGGCAGCAGTGAAGAGCTGGCGTGCAACATGCCGCAAGATTAACGGCCCCAGAAGTCCGTCGTCAGAGAGCGCGCTGTCTTCCGAGGTTTGCTATCACCGGGAACGGCACATGGGCTTTAGCCTTCAAGTTGTCTTAGAGATAACATAAGACAACCTGCGAATTTTTTTCTCTCGGAGTATTGTTCACACTACGTGCGCAGACTGATGCTGAGTTGTGCACACGTCCTCGGATACTGTAGACACCAAAATTTGGTGAAGAGAGCAGTGCAGATGACGCTTGCACCTGGCACATGCCCACCCTGGCACATGCCTGCCCGTCATTGGGTAGAGGATTACGTGACATCTCATATCATGGGATAGCTATGTTTTTGGCAGCCCAAGGCCAATGTTGCCAAACGAAGCCGACGTTTCAGTTTCAATTTTTGGTCATGTTATATATAAGATTAACAATATATATCCCATTTTTCACAAAGCAAATGGCATAGTGCCTTTTATTGGTGCTTTTGAATGTGAAATCACTGATTAGTGCCAAATTTTAGGAATTAAGCAGAGTTGCTTTTTGCATAATTTTTTTGTTATTGGTGAGGCTTGCAAGAGATAATAAGGTGCAAGTTTTAGTGATTTGACCTATCTTCTTGTGGGTCACCAGAAACAAACGTGTAAAGGGCGAGAGGCCAGTCAGGAATAGAGGCAGGCTTACCCAGTTTGCTCATTTCTAGCTTCTGTCGGTTGAGAGGGTTGGTGCCGAACATAAACGCATAGCCTTCACTGAAACAAAAAGAAAGCGGGGGAATCATGCCAATCAACATTTAGCCAGAAGTAAACGTATGTTACGACGGTGCAAACATGGTCAAGAAATTACTTTATTGATATTCACGAGCACGTTATATATGCAAACTGTGATAATACAACTCAAACAAAACACAACAAAATTCATTGTGCCCCATTGCAGTAACACGGACTATACAAGGATCTTTCTTCGTTAAATGCATCGACGAATGAAACTGTCCATCGACAAATCCTGCAAACAGTGCAAATGCGTCTGCTTTTTTCGGTAATATTTTGAACACTTGCAGGCATTTCTAGTTTTAACTTGCCTACCCACCTGCTTTTGCAGTCACTGCTAGCAGTATGTCCAAAAATAAATGAATAAAAAAATAAATACTCACTCATGGCAAGACTGGATCTCCTCCAAGGTTGCTTTCCGGGAACGAATTCTCTGCACAGAACGCAAAAATTTTGCAAAGTTACAGACAATGGTTTCGGAGACAACAGGCAGAAAATCTCACATTTGCAGAAAACACAGCACTACATCCCACTTTGTATAAAGCCTTACTGGGAACAAAAATAATAAAAGATGTTTAAAAACTTTGGAGGCCACAACTGTTAAAACTATACCATATGCCAAAAATGCTGCCCATATGCAAACATCTAGACATGCACGTGCGTACCAGTAATGAAGTTATGATACAGCATAATAAGTATACTGTAAAGTCGCCAACCGATTTTTCAGACGCCAATAATTCGGACTTGTTCGATATTTTGGACCTACAGAGGAATTGTGACCTTTCGATAAAAATAGTGCAAATTCACAGCCGATGTATCTGACAACTTGTGGGCACCCTGTGGCTCCCCAGCCCAGTTGCCTGACTATGGGGCACAGGTGGCGGACTTTCCCACATGGCGGCGGAATAAAAACAGCCACGCGCACATTGTGCACGCTGCCTTGATAAGGTGAATCAGGGACGGCGTGCAGGCATTCGCTGCCTGGACTTGAGCTCCACTGGTAACGATGTTAGCGTATTGATCATCTCGTCTATGTCCAATAAAATGTAGTTTCTTGTTGTTGAAACCGCTGGCTCCGTGTTATTCCCCCGGGATGGGTACGCAGCAAGGCAAACCGACCACAAGCTTGAAGTCCGAAAGTTTGGTTTTTGGAACAAAATCGTCAAGAAAATTGTCACGAGCAATCAGTGGGAAGCACCATCAAGAAGCCACCATTTTAGATTTTTTGTTGGCTGCACATGAATTGGCTTTGTTTGGCAGCGCTACTTGAGTACTGCTAAGTCGTACCGCTAGGTGATGCTATGCTACGGCTTTTTTTTTTCTGTGTGTCATTATCATTATTATTGTTAACATATTGCTTTGTTCCTTCGCCATTCTGTAGTCGTGGACTTGCGCCTCTCATCTCGTCTTGGTGAATCGTGTTTTCGGACTCCCTAAGAAGCGCGGAAAATACTCAAACATAACGCTAGAAAAGAAGGCAGCAATTCTCATGCTAACAAAAAATGGCCAAATGCCAGCAGAGGCATAAAATGAGGCAAGGCATTACTGGCGGCTTTTTTAAGCCCGCTTAGATGTAATAAAGGCAAGTTTTTTAATCCACTCATTTTTCGAACTGCTCTATTATTCTGATGTTTTTTCGGTCCCTGTGAAGTCCGAGAATCGGTCGGCGACTGTACCAGTAATGTACCACTTGCCATTTCTATTTCAAATTACTTGTCCCAACTAACACACTGAACTAATTGCAAAAAAAAAAATAGAACTTTTTCTAAACAAGCATACAACTGCGCACACAAAGGATATATTCGGTTCGGCACAAACAAAAGAGCCAATAGACATATTATAAAAGGCAGGTATCCCAGTGGATATACTCTGAGGGCAGGTGGGTATATAGCAGAAGTGGCCAAACTGCGACTTGCGAGCCGCATGCGGCTCTTCACAGTTTCAAGTGCGGCTCGCGGCTCCTTCCTGTGTGCCAAAACAAAAATAGTTTGCGGCTTCCCTTCTTGTGTCCGAAGACAAATAGTGTTCTAGAACTAAATAAGACAAAAAAACACAGTGTAGGCAGCTTTGTAATACACTACGCGCATACAGTAGGACGGCTTTTTGACGCATAGATGTGTCCAGTGACCCTGTTTCCTTTGTTGTTCTGAATATAATACCGAACAGTATACACCTAACAGGCAGGCGCCAGGGCCAGTGGCTAACTTGCGAACCCACTCATTTTTGCTTAATGGTTAAGAAACAATCTGCTGCCTAGTGTTATTTATTGTAATCGACAATTATACGTGTCCCCTTTGGAAGGGACTGTTCCCTCCATATTGTTTCTTGTGAAAAGTGGACCCCCCCTCCTTTTTGTTTCTCTGAGGCTCTCTGAACCTTTGTAGTTTGGCCTGAGGCTCTAACCCCATGTCACTCTGGCCATCCCTGGTATCTAGCATATGAACAGCTTTATTTTTGCAAGCTCAATATTTTGCAAATATTTTTGCCACGCCATGAGAAAGTTTCTTCTAGGTACAAATTGAAGCACCAGAGGCACTGCCAACACTATGAATTGACCCATCAGATCGCTCGGAGATCCTAATGAACAGACATGGATTTGGAGAAGTCACCGTGAAAAAAGTCATTGGATATGTGTTCTTTTTGAAGAAAACTCTGCAGGCCAGTCAGAAAGAAGGAGTGGAAATGCCATCTGTACTAGAGACCTGGTGGTGATATTATTTTAGAATAACTCAAACGCCTCGTGAAAGGCGATTCATGTGCTTAAAAAAAAAAAAAGAGACGTTTACAAATCTCTGTAATGCGAAATTAGACCACAGCTCCTGAGGTATTTTGATTTCGCAATATACCTTGCTAAACAATTTGAGAAAGAAATATATATACCGTATTTTCTGGACTATAGCCCGCAGACTATACATGTTTAAAAGCTGAAATTTTACCCGGTGCGGACTATCTCAATGTGCGGACTATGCAAGGTTTTGAATGTTTCTGGATCGTTCTCTGTGACAAGACGCGAAGGATGTTGTGAGTAACAGAGTATATTAATCGTGATTTATCTATGATACAAGCTTCTTTGGGAGCTAATACAGCAGGCATTTGTCAAGGTGTGCTGTGTATGATCATTTGTACATTCGGATTAGGTGTGCACTGCGTGCAGACTATGCACCGTGTGCGGACTATCTAAGCAAAAACATTAATGTTTTACCCCAAATTCGCCCCTGCAGACTATACACCGGGAACAGATTATAATCCAGAAAATATGGTACGGTATGTACAGATACAGATCCTTCCTCACATACTGGTTCTGCACCCTCCTCCTCTTTCATGTCCTCTTCCTCCTTCGTACCCTCTTCCTCCATATCCTCCCCTGCTCCTCTTCCGTACCCTCCCCTCGTCACTTGACCTCAACACCAACTCAATTCCTCGCAAAATTTAGCGGGGAAACTGAATTGGTATTGAGGTCATGTGACATCAGTTTTACTGCTAAATTTAGCGGGGAAACCGAATGTGCAGTGTTACATTATGGGACGTTGCAGACCTACACACAAATTTAGTTTCTTCGCTAAATATAGCAGGGAATTGAATTGGTGTATAGGTCTGTGACGTCCCATAATGCAACGCGCGCAGTTACAGCGACGGCGACGACGCCACTATACACGGAAACAGGCGCCTCCTAAAAATGATGAAAAGTTTTCATTATCTTTTTCTGTTTTAAACTTTTCAAGATCTGTTAAGAATGAAGGTTGGGCTAGATGCTTGAACATGTCTAAACGGAAATTAGAGCACAGACAAAGGACAAATATGGAAGAAAGAAGAACAAACACAGCGCCACATTTGCTCTTCTTTCTTCCATGTTCGTCCCTTGTGTGTATCATACCCGCAGTCTTAGACTTCTCATTCTTTTTCATATTTCTTTTACTCCTATATGAATTGGCGCCATTTGTGATGACAAAATTTACTACGGCGAAAACTGCCCAAGTTCATAGACCATCGAGTAGTTCACCTAAAGACAACGACGGTACCAAGAGGAAGGACCAATAGAAAAGCCGCTAACCTCGCAGCGTGCAGCCAGTCCCGTCTCCTGCAGCCGCGCCCAGATGCTCTGCAGCCGGCCGCCGTGCTCGGGGTGGCTCGAGTAGTCACCGCAGATGCACTGGTGCTTGAGCATCAGGCTGTCGTAGGCCAGGCCCGTGGTCACCCGGGGAGGGCTGCTTCCAGGTGCCGCACCGGGGTTGCCCATGGTTGCCGCCTCCTGCTGCTGCGTCTGGGGGCTACCTCCGGGCGGGCTCAGGCTCACCAGCGGGCTCGAGAGGGCGCGCGAGAGCGGCCGCGCCCCGTGGTGGCCGTGCGGGTGACGTGGCGTGAACGCCGATCCTGCGTGTTGGACCCATGTTGGAGATTCTACGACCCAGCTGCTGTTCTGGCCTAGACAACTAGAACCTATCGACTTTTTACTGTGGTGACTAACAGCGTAAGAAACACAGGGCACAGCAAGTACAGTCAAACCCGTTTATAATGAACAGCAGGAAACGGTACGATCAGTTCGATATAGCAAGTAGTTCGATATAGCAAGAACCGTTTACAACGAACTTCCAGGATGCGTTCGTTGTAAGGCGAGAGCTTCTCTTTCTTTCTCATCACTTCACTTCCGCCTTGTAACAACGCGCTGTAAAGTTTTTTTGGGTTTTTCTTTGCATGCGTGCAGTTTTTTTTAGCTTTTCTTCCGTTCTGAATCGCTTTGGTTCGTGGGCAAACGCTCTGGGATGAAAATATGTATTTGCTTTTCCTGTGCGTGCGTGCAGAGTATTTTTTTAGCTTTCTTTCCTTTTGAATAGCTTTTGTTCACTCAATTTTGTTCGCAACTTGAGCTTTCGGGATTTTATTTCTTTCCTAGTTCTTTTTTGTGGGAAGGGACAGGCCAGAAGATGATCGTTAGCGCGTTTTTGGAAGACTTCCCGGGGGAAAAAGTTTGATATAACCAATATATTGTTTGTTATAAGAAGTACTTTTTACATGCATTTTTATTTCAATTTTCTGCAAGTTCGATATCGACAATAATTCGCTGTACATGGGTTCGTTCTAAACGGGTTTCACTGTACCGGGCGTCTTATCATTGCTCCGCAGCCAACGAAAACGCTGAATTAGTTGACAAGAGTGCCGAAGAATGATCATAGAGCAAGATGCACAAACATTATAAGGCCCTGTATTTCTTAAACTGTTGGTTACTACAGAAATACAGTAGATAAGTTATGGTCGATACTCAATGGCATCGCTTTTTGAGCATCCTAAAGACTGCATTCGGTTCGCACGAAACGAAACGAGAAAAAGCGAAAGAATGAAACGAGGAAATGCTAAGACGTTTTTACATTAACGCTCGCACAGCAGTTACTGAAAAGGTGCACATACTTTCGGGGAAAAAAAAATGGGGGGGTTTATTTTGCGCGCGCGAGCTAATGACAAGTGTCGCAGAAAACTGTCAATGACTTCTCCGCAGCATGGCTAGAAAAATCCGGAAATACCGGAAACCCCCGAAAAAGAAAAAAAGCTCGAGGTACACCTAAGCACTTCTGATGAGTTGCGAATGCGAAAGCCTGCAAGCCGCTCGTGCACTTTCTTTTTCATCTGCTGCATACTTTTTGTCGCCGGTCAGCAAGCGTGGTCCCCTAAGCACGCTGACCTTGGATGCTCCGTGTTAACGGCGCGCTGTTGGACACGCAGTGCCATAGGGTGAACGGTTGTGGAAACTGACGAGCACAGCGGCCAATGGGAGCCTTGTCGACGAGCGCCAGCCAATGGAACCTAAGGCAAAATCCATTACCTTTACTTCGCTCCTTTGGGATCGGGGAAACTAGGTGCCGTTTTCGCGCTTCACACTGATGACGTCAGCTCGCTTAATGGGACAGTTAATGCTTTCACATTAAAAGAACGGGTATACACCGACACGCGGGCTTGACGTCACGGAGCTGCGGCGGCGCTGCGATCGCGCCGGAGCCGGGGGGTGTGGGCAAAAGCGCGCACGTTTCGCATGGGCGTCATAGCATTTCAGCTTGCCGCGAAGCTGTGTTGCCGTTAATTGCACCGAAATGTACAAGAAAAGCACCGGAGTGAGTTTCCACAAGTTCCCGGCAGACTCTGAAACGCATAAAAGGTGGATCATATCCGTGGATCGAAAAGAATGTTCGCCTCGCGCGAACGACCGTTTGTGCGGCAAACACTTTCCTGGAGGCAAGTGCGGCTTCCATTTCAATCTCCGTCCCGAGGCTTGCATATGTGCAGGGAAACCGTTGTCTGATTGAGACCACCCGGATTTTGTTTCCACGGTGTTCGCGCACAACGCACCCGGGCACCCCCCAAGCGCTCGTCGGAGGCTCGCTACGCTCGTGCTACCGAGCAGAAAGGGATCGACAACAGAACGGCAGTGTTGTAGGCGTTACCAAAAAAAAAAAGTAACGAAATACGTTACTTGAAAATAAAAGGTACGCGTTACTGAGCTACGTTATCTAAAAAAAAAAGGACGCGTTGCCGCTACCGATAAAAAGTAAGGCACGTTACGTCTGCGTTACTTTTCTAAATTATGATGTAACACATTTTACGGTTTTGACGATACAGGTCATATATCAAAAAACATTATATTCATGCAGAAACTGAACATAATTACTTTAGCTCTTTCCACGGTTTCACCTAAACACGGAAACAATTGAAGTGTAATTTTTTTATGACTTGGGAAGTAGTAACGACTAACGTAACTACGTTACTTGAAATAGTAACATAAGTACGTTACCCGTTACTGTGCCGAAAACGTAACGAGCAGGTTACTACGTTACTGAAAAACGTAACGCGTTCCTGGTAACGCCGTTACTTGTAACCTGTTACCGTCAAGACTGCAGAACGGACAAACCTTTACTGGTTGTAATGCCTTGTGGTCATGAGGGTATGAAAAATATCATACCTTGACTTGAAGACGCTCTGTGTATTTAATCAATTAATGAATACACACACTTCCGCAGACCCACAGTCTGCTGATCCCGCCGGCAGTGTGGAAACCGACTCGATGTAATCGTAGACCTCGAGAGACTTGTACGCCTGCACCGTGTCGGCCGTGAACTGGCTTTGCGAAAAAACTAAATAAACGACGACCTGAGCCGTTGACTTCCGTACGTCGGAAGTCCAGCAGGTCTTGTTTACGGCGTACGGATCCTCGTAGGCAACGCCGTCCACGCACAGTTTGTTTCGAGACCGCTGCCGTTCAGGCTCGGGCAACGAGCTCAAATAGTCGGGCATAGCATACGACATACGTTATGAGGAAATACGACGCACAAATGAAGCTAGAAGCGTCCCTACAACGTCAACAACGAGCGCACACCATAGAGCGCAATGGCGAAAACACGGACAGCCGGGCTGCTTTTGCCCACATAGCTGCCGCGCATGCGCGGCCCTCCGGCCGTGTTGGTAAACAGAGCCGCTCCGCGTGTCGGTCTATAGGGTGCGTAGGTAGAAGTAGCTCTGAGGAAGATGTTCGGCAAGTTTCGGCTTTGTGAGCACCGAAGACTAAGTTTTTCTAGCTTCTGTTTCAGAAGTGGTACACACTAGATCAGTGCCTGGATACCTATTGGGTGCCTGCACATAGAAACGTTATAGCACATCTGCTTTCCCATCTAAAGGGAATTTCAGCTCAGCCACCACAACAAATAGAAACTTAGATGGGAGTAGGCCTGGAATCGAGCTACCAAAAAAGTGCTAAAACTGGAACTGCGCAAGGTGGGTAGCACAATGGGAGTCCCCAGACGAAGACTGAATGACTGGTGGAATGGAAACGACACCCGACACCGTCCGTAACGCGGCACCTCCAAGGAAGGGGACCTAAAAGCAGTATTCCTTAATCGAGCTGCAGCTGGATTATTGTACCGAGCTTAGCTGGATCCCACTGGGACCAGTTTCATAATCCAGCTCTGCTTGGACTGATCCCCATTAAGGCTAGTTGTATAGTGAACATACTGTCCGAAAAGCTAGCCAATCCCTCTAAACTGCCGACCATAGTGCAGCTTTTGGGTACAAGCGAAGAGGGAAGTAAGAAAGAGTGTGAGCGAATGAGCGATAGTGTGAGCGAGAGAGTGTGCGAGTGAAAAAAAGGGTGAGAGACCGATTGAGTGAGTGAGCGAAAGAGAGGCATCAAAATGGTCGCCCACCTTCGCCCCCACCCACGTGGAGGGAGTGGCGTGCAACGAGGTCCCTCTGCTGCTGCCGCTGGAGCAGGAGCAGGGTTGGCGGGTCGAGGGGGTTCTCGGAGGAGGGAGCCTTGCGGGTGTCGGTGAGGTCGATGACCTCCGGCTGGTCCTTCATCTCCTGGGCCACGGCTGCCTCAGTCTCTTCCTCTACATGCTCCACCACCTGAGACTTGCTGCCTGCTCGCGTCAGCACCGTCTGGCGGATGTGCTGCGGAGGGGAAGGAGAGTACCGTCGGTCCCAACTCCTTACGCTTGTTTAAAGAGACATGTATGTGCGCAGCTCCATTGTTTGAAAAGAATAGATGCTAAAGAAAAAGAGACAACATGTCTGAAAGCCTTGCACTACAGGATAAAAAAACTGTGAAGGTACACTGTTGGCATCAATACGACATCAGTTCCTTTTTTGTATTTCACTTTGAAAAGGTATTGGAGACAGGGTGTCTAGCAAATTCTTATTCTGAAAATTGCCTGACTTTCCCAGGTTTTCCTCAACAATGGTTCAATTCCTTGACCACTGTAGAGGCGGTTAAATATATAAGACCATTACAACACGAGGCATTGAGCATTGAGCACTGTGAGGACCATTTTGCACGGCCTTAATCCAACTTGCATATTCCGAAATATTCGGGTTCGTACAGTCCGGATTGAATGAGCACTTTCTTGCTGCCGACATCGTCAGTGAAGAGGTCACTTCCGGAAACGCTATGAAAACACGACGCTCAACCACACACGTCAATAACCTAATGGCAGCATGGCCGCCAGATGCAGACTTTCGGATGCTTTCGGCTTAAGGCTTTGATTGGACTGGGGTCTGCAGCCTTTCCCATTTGTTGCTAAATCTAGTAGCTCTAACTGGATCTAGCCTAGTGTTGCGCCCCTAGTCCAATTCACGGCTTGGACTGGATTTGTCGGCTTTTCCCTTTGCAACGAGTAGCACACTCTACATCGGGTGACCAGAGCCCGCACTCCGCTCTGAGCGGAATTTATTGCCTATTTTTCTGCCCCCAAGTCCTCAAGTCTTTGCGCAGGGCACTTGATGGCGTTTCCGGCTCATTTTTCCTAACTGGGCTCGCTTTTTGACAATAATCCCTGACGATTCCCTGATTTTCCACAGTAATTAAAATTTCCCTGACAATTCCCGGTCTTCCTGGTCACAGGCACCCTGTGGAGAGCACCATAGTTTTCCATCTGGGTTAGTACTCCAAATGAGCACTTCCCACCAGGCTAATAGTATCGATGACAAGCTTCCGATCCTAAAAGAAACATTAAAAAAAACAGCACATGCTTTTTCATGCTAACAGGGTCACATATCTAAAACCTTAGCTTTTTTAACTTTTACTTTAATTAGGTAAACTGATTGGTTCCTGCTCTGTTTCATAGCTTTCAAAAATTAATGCATTAGCTATCTACAATTATTGTTGTCTCTTAGGCTTACTGAGCCCTTTGACTATTGAGGAATATATTTTCTTAACTATAATAATGAACAAGTCTTCACCAAGAAAGTCATAAACATAGAAAAATGTTTGAACAGCAGTAGAGGCTTTAATACACAACGTTTCAGGAAGAGACTTCCCTTCTTCCCGAAACGTTGTGTATTAAAGCCTCTACTGCTGTTCAAACATTTTTCTACATTATTACATTTTCTGTGAGGTTGTGCAAATATTCAAATAGTAGTTTCAAATAATAAGCTGTATGCTATTCGATATTCACTTCGAGATGAATTTCAACATTCATATTTTTCAAAGTATTGATCGAGGTGGGTTGACCCCGTTGAGTGTGCTTCTCAGCGAGCACCTTGCAACTATGGGAAAGCAATACCCGCAGAACTTGCGGGCTCCATGGGTATTTCTTCCCCACAGTGCTTAGGTGCTCGGTCAGAAGCGCACTTCACGGGGTGAATATTCCGCAATTATGCTGGAATATGTTTGGTAGCGATGTCTTGAAGACCAGTTTTCGTCACTTGTGCTTGTTTTTTTTGTTTTTTTTTTCCAAATATAAAACTGAAGAAAGAATATTCCTTATGGCAAGTAGATTTATAAATCCCCCTGATCAGGACAGCTGCAACAAATTTGTTGTTTACATGCCACAGTTCATATAGTCACATTAAAATGAACCGAGCTTGGAAGGGAACAGGTAGAAGGTTAGGAACAACCTTCTTGAATTCAGCTGATAGTTAAGGCGAAAGCCTTATATGTACCATTATGCAAAAAGGTGGCGTCGGCGGTCGGTGTTATGCCCGAAAGATGGCCATAAAAATATGCCATCAAGCACGAGCCATTCAAGGTCAAAGTGGACGTCCCTCAGAAATAAAACACACAAAAAAAGCACAGCAACGCAGATGCTTTATCGCAGAGGTTGTGAAGCAGGCGGGGGCGCTCAAGGTCAAACCGGAGGCGCCTCAAAAATAAAACAAAGAAAAGCACAGCAATGCAGATGCTTCGTAACAGAAGCCGTGAAACCGGTGGGGGTGCCGCGCCTGCACAGTGGGAAAGCGTGATGTCACCGCCGGAGCGCAATGTGCAAAGGGAAGACGTGGCGCACTGCTTGTAGGAATGCGCTGCATGTACGAATGCAAGTGTCTCTGGCATGTGTTTTTGTTTAAGCATGGTGCACAGTAGTGAAAGGCTTGAACAAACTATATAATATAGGATTCGAGAATATTTGACCAAAATCACAATTGCTTTGAATTCGCTTCAAATTCAAAATCTAATTTTCTGTATTTGTAGCTTGGACCAAGAAGACTGAGGTCTCATATTTTAAAAAGGTATGTCAACCACCCCCTGAAGAACTAAAATTTAAATTAATATGAAACCAAGCTGCACAAATCAATAACTTGAGGGAAGCTCAAAGGAATTCACCGGAGCGGCTACCGGGATAAACCAAGCATGGGGATCAGCAGACAGTGAAGGCCAGTGCTGACTTCTCAGCCCACCTGTTTGAGCAGGTTGTGTTGCTGCTGCTGTTCGTAGAGCTGAGCATTGATGAGGACCCCCTGGGGCTGCAGCATGGGGTGCCCGAGGGGCAGGGGTGCCGACTGGGTCCTGCCCAGGGGTCGGTGGATGGTTCTGAAACACAAAGGAGGGACAGTGAGGCCCCACCCTTAGCCGCCACTCTGCATCGCACGTTCTCGCAGAAAAACGCACACGCTCTGTTCCACCTTATGACAGACTGCAGCGGACTCTATGAGCCGTCCCAGCTAATCCAGCGTTGCGAACGTATCACGTGACTATGTGTTTGCATATCGTCGCAGTACTTCCGAGCGTCACACAATACTCAACACGGCACTGGGTTGACTTCAATGGCTCGTTGCGTCTTCCGCGGTCTATCGTAAGCTGAAACGGAGTACCGAAGCATGCACTTTTGTGTGCGCTTGGTGAGTTATGATGGGCAAGTACGAAAGGCACTGTTTCTTAACGAAAATGAATGTATATCTTAATGCTACGGGTGAAGAAGACGCACACCAAAGGTGCAGAGTGTTTTAAGCTGTGCTGTGTGTTTACTTCCGAGGTCTTCCGAGCTCAGGAGTCCCGCAAAAATTAGCATGACATGGACACAAATTATTGACAAATTTAGTGGTGCCACGTAATTTGACGTCATGTTGCAGTGTCATGTGATGCCAAGTCACATGAAACTGTGACATTACAATGTTGTGCGTGACGCAGTGTCGTTCAACACTGCATTACGCGGTCTAAGTGTCACATGGAACAGGTCATGTGACAAAGCGTCATGTGACATTTATGTGTCACATGACACCATGACTTGACACCGTGAGGACACTTGACGTGGTCATGTGGCTGGTGCAACATGACCACGTCACGCTGATGGTGTCACGTAAACAATGTCTATTAAATTTAGTGAGATGTAAATCTTCTAAATTAGTCAGTCGTTCATGGTGAATTTTCGTGGCGCTTTTTCGTGATTATTTTTCTTGGCAGTTTTTTTAGGTTTTCACGGTGGTTTTTCGTTGTGGACTAACTTGGTAGTTTTTACGTGGTGCTTTTTCGGGGCATTTTTGATGGCGTTACACTTTTCTCTGGAATCCCAGTTCGTAAACATATTCTGCGTGAAGAATAAAAAAAAGTGCGCTTACCGATGGAGGCGTGCCTGCGCCACATGGGCGTCGGTGATGACGGTGCCCGGCGGGTACATGACCTGGAGCACCTGGCCCGGGGACTGCTCCAGGCCCTTCATCTGCTGCTGGATGTAGCCCGGACTAGTCGGAGGTGTAAACTCCCCGTCTATCACTGCCAAGGGATGGACAGGAGAGAAGACACTCACCCCAAGTAGTTTTGAGTTGAGTCGGTGAATGTTTCAGATTTGTTTTAAAGGAGTACAGAATATGGTGCACACTGGGAACATTTGGTTCAGAGTTTCCACTTGAATCTAACATTAAAAAAAGCCAATTGGCACTAAAAATGAAATGGTGCAACATTATGGGTGTGTACCATTTGGGACAACTTTATCGAGTAATAAAGTCAAACATATAAGCAGCCACGTGCTTGCCCGCTTTAAGTGCCGATCAGCACACTCTTTACGCTGACCTGCCAGTTAAAGTAGTCCCCAAGTATGGCCTAGCAATGAAGTGTACCGTGCAAGGCAGATGGTTGTGAGTCAGCATGTAGAAGATGCACTGTAAACAGTACAAGTTTTGCGATGACTCAATTTTTGCAAAACAAAAACAACCACAAGTTTTTGAGACACCAATAAATGAGTCGCAGTAACTGCCATAATATCCCGAGAGATACCCTACCCCCGAAAGATAACCCACCCCAATTTTTGTTTGATTTGCTATTTTCTTTTAAACACCAAAAGATAGCACACTCCTAGTAACTGTAGCGTTCGAATTCATGATGACCTCGGTGCAAATACGGCTAGCTAGCTATGGCGGGATATGATAGAACATTGCTGACAAAGAAGCATGGTCATCTTAGCTTCATCATACCTCGCCGTGATAACAAGCTTGACAGGAAAACATAACCTAAAAATAGTGCTTTTTAAAATTTTTCTTGGTTGGAGACTGAAAGATAGCCCACCACTTGTTTTCACCCGATTTTTAATTGATTTTAGGTGGGCCATCTCGGGATATTACGGTAGTACAAGAGCACCATGAAGTGGCTTACCCATAACTGCAAACTTCCGTTGCCAGAAAATATTCCGCAAAGCGGCAGCTTAGAAACCTTCCAAAATATTAATCCCGCAAATACAGTCTAAGCTCGTTATAACAGACCTGGTTACAACAGACATTTGGGTGTAACATACCGATTTGTGAAGTTCGGTTGGTTTTCCTCTGTGCACCATTGACTCAACTTCATATCTGCATACAACATACTCCTTTTACAACAGACCAAAATCTTGGTCAAAATCAAGGTCTGTTATAACGAGCTTAGACTGTAACAACCTCACTTATAGTGGCCACAACCAGAACCCCAAATACGTACGGAGTGACATAAGGGTTCACTCTGAGGCAACCCGACTGGTGAGCCGAGTGAAGGACTACCTGGCAAGGGTGAGCAGAACGGCAGGGACGAATGTAAAACGTGAGAAGTGAGCGGCATCCCCAGCCTCGCCGCGGCCATGGCTCGCACTTGGGCTTCGGACACGGAGTTGAGGATCTTCCCGTCCTGCGTAACATGAGATTGCCCTTTTGAGACTTTCCTTCTTTGATCCCTCATAGTAGCGAGAACGTCCACAAGGCCCGAGTTTCATTACGCGAGAAGAGCACATTGTTGTTAAGGCTGCTTTCGACGGCTCGTGACCGCATACAACGAAAAACGTGACGGCACAATCTTTTCGGATTGCTCGGGAACACTTCGGGTCTATGACTAACATAGACTAAGGGTTCTGCAGCATTTATGTATCTGTAGTATAGTATTTGATACTACATAGATCAAACCTGTGCACTACCCACAAGGAATGGTTGGTTAACACTGCCAGAATTATTTCGAGCCCAGGGTGAAAGGATGACTCGTTAAATACACGCACGGGGGAAGTGTTCCCCGGCTACCCGACAGACCGCGCCGGTGTTTTCTCATCGTTGGCGTTCCCGAGTGGTTGCGAAGCGGCTGTCTATCGCATTCAAACATGAACGTGCGAACAAGCGTTAATGGTGCTGCCTTTTGATCAAGGCAATGTACACGATTGGAGCATGGCAGGTAAAGGAACCAAGTGCCTTGGTCTGCTCCCATGTTATAGTTGCAGATTTAGTCCAATGCAAGTCGTCTGCTTCTTGCGCAGGAGTTTCGGTGACGTCAGAACGACGCCGAGCTCTGATTGGCTTTGATTGAAAGGATGGTGGGTAGACCTGAGTGCTAGCTGCCTTGAGGTCTACCCACTACTTTTTTTCAATCAGCCAATAACAGCTCGGCGTACTGACAGCATCGCTAACCCTGTGCAAGAAGCAGACAAACTTGCGCACTGCATTAAAGGCCAACGGCAAATATCAAGTTGAACATGTGAGAAGGGGTCACATAAAAAACATGCGCAGGGCAGAGTGGCAGACTCACGGCCGAGCTGGAGGGGACGGGCGGCCGCCCGAGCGAGATGTTGGGCATGGAGGGCGACGAGTAGAGGGTGAGATCGTTGGTGCCGCCCTGCGAGAGCGGATGGTACGGAGAGTTGCCCGGTTCCTGAAGGAAAAACCACAAAACAAGTGGGTTTTGAAGCAAGTGCTCCGGGAACAACTTGAGCGACGAATATAACTATGCAGTCGTTGACAAGTTAAGTGCTCGGTAGAAGCTTCGCCCCCGGCACGTGCTCGTTGCCTTCTGCCAGGCTTTGACTGCACATGCGACGAAGTGTCACCGAAGGCAAATAGCTCACGCTCAAGGCTTGAGCTCTCCGCCTGTGACTACTGGGTTCTGTTTGTGTCCCGTAGTATATAGGGTTCTGTGTTGTAGGGTTTTATTTTTTCCTGCAGATTCTGCGTCTTTGAGTGCATTTGGTGCCAGATAAAAATTGGCACTTGTTGGGGCTCGTGCCGAAGGAAACGAAGGGACATAGGTACGAAATTCCCTGGCATCCAAGGAAAGTGCGCGTGACCTGGGTTGTTGGAAAACATTGCAGCCCCGACAGGAGAAGAAAACGGTACGAGGGAAATGGCCTACAAAGAAAGGAGCGACTCTGCAGTTCGTTCAGTGGGGGGGGAACCGTGTTCCGGGGAAACACAAAATAAAGCAGGAGACAAAGACTTCTACCTGTAAAGCTGGGGTTCTTCTTGTTCAGAGACAGCTCCCATTCGGGGCTTATTGGTGTACCCAAAAATATGGAACTCCGGATATAGTTTTCCTTTGACGATAAGAGGCAAGGATGGTGCTGAAATGTTCATATTAAAAATAGCGCAAAAGAGACGGGTCAGAAAGACGAAGAAGCACACAGGACAAGCGCTAACTGGCAACTAAACTTTATTGAAAGCTTCCAACTTTGCTATCGCCGTGCACGCGCTTAGTCTCGTATTAACAGAAACGGCGTACCGCCAAATCTGCACATTCGTACCGCCCACCGCCTGTTCCAAAAAGTCAGCAAAACAGCTACATCACCCCGCCGCACAATCCGAACGAGGAAAGGAATAGAAAAAACGCCGCGTTAATATTATCAAGTTAGATAGTGTTAATGAAACTGTACTCTTTCGGCTGCATATACACCGATGCGACGCTTATGCAAACGTTTTTGTCACAAGCATGTATTTTTGCCGCCTCCGGCAACTCTCGTTCCCTCCTTCCTTTATTACGTCCCTCCACCTGCACACCGTCCAGCGTGGGGGAACAACCACAAGTTTTACAATGCCTTGGTAAGCGGGAACCGTAATTGTTGCCAAGAGAAGCCGCATGCTCTCGAAGTCGATCATTTAAGCAACGTCCCGTCTGCCCTATGTAAACACGACCACACGTTAAAGGAATCCTGTAAACCACCTCAGTGACACAAGGCACAAACTTTGTCACGTGTTTCTTGCTACAAACAGGTTTTTTCACTTTCGGCCCGCTCACCATAGCGCACAATTTTGACAATCTGCGTGGGGCAGTGAAGACAACATCCACGTCGAACTTTGATGCTATCCTTTTCAGATTGTGCGACACCTTATGAATGTAAGGTAGCACTACAAAATTCTTTGGTTTCCTCTTAGGTACAACGGAAGAGCATTTCAACTTCTTTAGAAGGGATTCCGCAACTCCCTGTATTAAAACCGAGGGAAACCCGGAGCGTTCCAAGCGAAGTGTCTGGAGGCCAAAACTCTCGCTAACTACATGCGGACAGGACCTCAGCAGTGCCGACCGAAGGCAGAGCGAGGCGATGCCCCTCTTTATCAATTTAGAGTGGGATGAGTCAAAAGCTAAAAGGGCCTCTTTTGTGCGTGGCCTGTACATCTAGCACACATGGTCAAGGGAGTTAAAAGACAACAGGACATCTAAAAACTGTAAAAAACCTTCCAACGGAAGTTCGTAGGTGAAATGTAAATGCTTAGAAGATTTGCTAAAAACTTCCAGAGCAGTCTCGACTAAAGAGACCAGGCTTTGCTTTGCAGGAACACTAAGAAAAAAAAAAAAAAAATCGTCGACATACCTACAAACCTTCACAATGGGGATGTCAACCAACTCATGCAAAACCGAGCGGTCAAACTTGGCAAGAAAAATCTCACATAGTACAGGCGCCACACTAGACCCATTTCCTCTTAGGTACTCTTCCGTTGTACCTAAGAGGAAACCAAAAAATTTTGTAGTGCTACCTTACATTCATAAGGTGTCGCACAATCTGAAAAGGATAGCATCAAAGTTCGACGTGGACGTTGTCTTCACTGCCCCGTGCAGATTGTCAAAATTGTGCGCTATGGTGAGCGGGCCGAAAGTGAAAAAACCTGTTTGTAGCAAGAAACACGTGACAAAGTTTGTGCCTTGTGTCACTGAGGTGGTTTACAGGATTCCTTTAACGTGTGGTCGTGTTTACATAGGGCAGACGGGACGTTGCTTAAATGATCGACTTCGAGAGCATGCGGCTTCTCTTGGCAACAATTACGGTTCCCGCTTACCAAGGCATTGTAAAACTTGTGGTTGTTCCCCCACGCTGGACGGTGCGCAGGTGGAGGGATGTAATAAAGGAAGGAGGGAACGAGAGTTGCTGGAGGTGGCAAAAATACATGCTTGTGACAAAGACGTTTGCATAAGCGTCGCATCGGTGTATATGCAGCCGAAAGAGTACAGTTTCATTCACACTATCTAACTTGATAATATTAACGCGGCGTTTTTTCTATTCCTTTCCTCGTTCGGTTTGTGCGGCGGGGTGATGTAGCTGTTTTGCTGACTTTTTGGAACAGGCGGTGGGCGGTATGAATGTGCAGATTTGGCGGTACGCCGTTTCTGTTAATACAAGACTACGCGCGTGCATGGCGATAGCAAAGTAGGAAGCTTTCAATAAAGTTTAGTTGCCAGTTAGCGCTTGTCCTGTGTGCTTCTTCGTCTTTCTGACCCGTCTCTTTTGCGCTATTCTTAATATGAATGTCCACTACCAACTTGCCCAGCAGACCAAGTTTTTACAGTGCTGAAATGCCAGTGGAACTTGAGCCATACTCTCAAATCTTTTGAACGAACGAGCTGAGACTTCCTATGCACGCTCAAAATGTTATTAGCTCCTGGTATTATAAAACTGGTTTCATGGCTGGCATATCGGTTTCTAAGTCAAAGACCCTTTTATGCCCGCAGTGAGTTGGACAGCCCAAAGAAGTTGGTTTAACAAAATTGGATAAAGAACTATCCTCAAAAAGACACTGGCAGCTAGAGAGGCACAATCTGCCAAACACAAGCAAGGCTCATGCAGTTAGGGAGTGCAACGGTCTAGACCAGGGGTGGCCAAACCGCGGCTCGCGAGCCGCATGCGACTCTTTGCCGGTCATGGTGCGGCTCGCGGATCCCTCGTAAGGGGACCCTCCCCACCGCCCCCCTCGCACCTTTCCGCATTTCCCCAGGAAAATGGAAAGGATTTCAGAATAAAGACCAGCTTGCAGTTTGGCAGCCTTGTGCCCCCCATACGTACAGTCTAAACGCTTTTCACTCATGTTTCCCCAGATCCTGTTTCTTTCATTGTTCAACAGAGTTTGCCGGACAATAGGGGGAAAGGCATCAAAGACAGGGACTGTCAAAACATGCATGCACTTTGGCTTGGGGTCGAGGAAATGTTCTGTCTCGCGGCCTTTGTCACTCGCCGGTGATACTTGTCACCTTTAGGTAACGGATGTTCCCTCCATATTGTGTCTTGTTCAAGGTCACGGAAGCCCGGGTCGACCTTATTCATAGCTTCCACTAGTCACAAACGTTATGTTCAAGTTCACAAAGGACCAGGAACATTCTCATTGTTATTTTTAACGGCTTGCAGGTGTGACCTGCGAGCTGCTTTCTTATGTTTTTGGGGGGGTGGGGAGATAACCAGGCAGCGGTGTTCGTTTTGCACCCCCCCCCCCCCCTCCCCCCTTTCGGCAGCTCTTAGAAGTTTCGTGGTTTCCTTTGCGGCTCTTAGGCCAAGTAAGCCTGTTGTCGTCTCATTCCAAGCACTTGTACAAACTACAAGTTCGTGCCTTCACTTTGGTCAGTGCTTAAGGGGGGACATAGGTCTTTGAAGCCAAAAACTCCCTAAAACTGCATTCTTTTGAAAATGGCTATGGCTGTCGTTCTTCTGAACCTACCAGGCTTATAATTTCGTGGATGAATATTTGAGCTATAAATCACTTTATAATATCTATGCGGGTTGAATGTGCATTAAAGTTGACTCTAAAACATTGTTTTCACAAAACACAATTTTTGGACTTGTTGAGAATTTGCAGGAAGGATATCTTAGCATCTAGAGCAGATAGAAATATAACCGTTCCTGAAATGTGTAGCTGAACGTGTGAAGCATACAATGTTGAGAGCAGAATTTTTGATATAAGTTTAGAAAAATTTATATTTGATCTTTTGCTTTATTACTTGTTAGCCATGCATTGAGCAGTGAACTTTAATGTGTGGTAAAACCACTAATAATGAGTTTTTCTTAAAAGTGCTTCCAACATTGTATTCTCTACACTTCGCAGTATCTAGCCATGTGTTAAAAAGAATATTTTGTTGAGCAGTTTTTGTTCTATCTTTTTTTTCAAACAAAGGCAGGCAAGTTTTATTTATTTTGTGAACCATTCTACTGACTGAGAAAATGACCAGATATATGAAATCAGCACAGAAAGCTGAACAAGCTTGTGTAGTTTCATTGGGTTTGGTCATCAAATAAGAAAAAAAGCTCCAAGACCAGTGTTCCCCCTTAACATGACTTTTAGAAAGTGATTGATCATGACCTGACAAACGATTTCAACGAGCCAAAAGGTATAGCACTATGTATTTAAATAAGAAATATGAAAGTGAAAAGTAGTTCCCAAAACTTCATTTATTTTTTTTTCTTTAAACTCAATTCTTGGTACTAAATTACGTGCCAGATTTCCCTTTACCACCATTCGGTTCTCCACAAACAAATGCTCTTAAGGCACACGAAAGAGGTTCAAAATCCCTCCCCAAAATAACAACGCCTCAATTAAGATGTTTTTCGGCGTTCAAGCGAGCAGGAGTTATTTGGCAATCGTCTTTACTTTAAAAAAAAAAAAGCCCACAAACGCAAGAAGGGTGAGACGGGCGAACTGCGTGCACCTTTTCAAAATAAACACTCCGTCAGCACCGGCCTCCCTCTCCCAAAAAACCGTCGAGACAACCACTACGGATGAAATAAAACGAGAGCTCTGACTGAGCACGAGCCAGCAACACACGCGGAGCCTTTTGCACGACGCATCCATTGCAAGCGTCGTCGAGCCAAAGTAAATTCCGTCTTGACTTTCTCTAGTTAAAGGGAAAAGTGACATTTTCTCTACAGCGACGACGAGCGTCCGGTCTTAAAATACAGCTCGCTTCCAAGGAAATGTGCTGCGGCGTGCTTAAAACAACCCTCGACTGACGCCCCCTCTGTCCTCCAAGAGTGGGAAGAAACAAAGAAGGAGGAAGAGGAGGAGGAGGAATGTGTCGGAAACGACACAAAGAAAAACACCGAGGACAGGGAGCTCAGAAAGGTTTTTAACTGAGTTTTCTGGACGCTTGTGGAAGTGCAGACGCAGTTGGCGTCAATGAATAAGCTTTAGGCACTGGAGTGAGAAAGCTATGGGTTAACCATGGAGACCACGATGCAACTTGCTCATTGACGATGGCGGTTACCTGGAAGTTGTTCCACACAAAAACCACAAAAGCCGAGAAAAAAACCCCCAAAAAAACCTCGTTGAGGGCAGGTAGAGAAGCAAAAATATTTTCCCTACATTAAAAACAACAAAACAGAAAAGTAGTACAAATGCTGTACATCATGGGGTTGCCTCGTTGCTGCAATTTCATGAAAAGGTTGCCAATTGGTTAAGGTTTCTAATAAAACCACCAAATGCTAACCGATGTGGAAGAACCTTGGCAGAGCTAGTGACGGCTGGCAAAATGAAACGGCACAAAAGGAGACAAGGAACAAGTAAAAGAAACATGCATACCAGGCACTAATTTACAAATGAGTTTAATAAAAAAAAAAAAACACAAACCGACATTGACACAAAAACTATTTGTTCAATGCTCACTAATAAACCTTAATGCCATGTTTCCAACTAAAATGCAACTCATACAAGCCTGCTACCTGCCCCTACCCCTACTACCACCTCTCTCCCTCCCCCAAGAAATGAAAAACGAAAAAAGTATTTTTTTGGCTAAGGTTAGTGTCCACCTCCGCCGAGAGTGGCAGCTGCGCCCGTCCAGAACTCGAGGGTACAACTGCGGTTCCTCCTCTAAACTCTCCGAATTCTCGTCGACGTGGCGGGGGGTACGCGGAAAGAGGGAAGGAAAAGGGCACGTGGAAAGCGGGGCATAGCCCCCTTTACCATTCTTCCCCTCTCTCCCTTCCTCTCCCAAGGTGCCAATTTGGGATTCCCACTCCTGGGTCCCTGGCTCCGGAATACAAGCAGCTCTGCATCCTCCTCCTCCTCCGCTTCAGAGGAGCCCATGCGTGCGGCCCTAAATTTAGAATCCCCGTGTGCACCTCCCGTGGTGCGGTATCTTTGGACCCGCCAAATATAAACATGCCCTTCCCCCTCCTTCCCTGTCCGGCCGTCTTTGTGCCGCTGTCAGTCTCCCAAGGGAGTGACAAACTGAACTGAGACAAGAATGCAGCGCCGTAGTACCTAAAGGATTGCAATGCGGCTGCCACATGCAGTAATGCAGCCGTAATGCGAGCCGGAGCCAAGACGCTGCGTCAGGCAAAAGCTGAGTTCGCTCGTTAATGCAACCACTTAAGCTTCGTTATCCCATATCTTCTAATGAAACAGGCAATCGGGCTTTCCTTTTGTTGTTTCTGTCGCTGAAAATGGCATTTCGAAAGCATGACTGACCAGGGTTCACCTGTAACGTCACAAGAATAAACGGAAGGAACGAAAATGGGCCAGGACAAGATTAGACATACTGCCCTGTCCTCACTCGTTTCACGGCTTTCCGTTAATTCTTACAACTGATGATTTCCAATTATCCAGCTTACTGTTGTTACCACTGGTGGTGATAGTTTTGGTTTTCTTTACCTTGAATTCAAGATTTCCAGTGAATGTGTATTCATTCTTGTTTTTCATGTTCGTTGGAGATCGACCGAGATGAATTTATGACTTTATTTCCCTCCAAAAGTCTGAACAATCTCGAGAGCGGAAACTTTACAAAACGAAGGCACAGCAAGACGTAATGTGTTCAGTAACGTCAGTTCTCATAGTTTTCAAACATGCTGCTGGCAGCACGTTGAAAACTATAAAAACTGACGAAGCCAGGATTAAAACTTCGGCCGTCCCTCTGAGCTTTCTTTTGGGGGCTACTTTTCAACATCACCAAATACACATTGATTTGATTTGATAGTAATCTGCTAAAATAAGAAGGTTGTTGAAATTTTCTTTTCTTCAGGTAGCCTACTAGCTAGACACTCATATAACAATTTCAAAAGAGCTAAGTATGTGCTAAATGAAATGCACGAAAGAAGTGGCCTAGCTCCTTTTCATCAAGTCATCAACCTCAATAGTACAGACGAGAATGGTCGGTACCTCTGGAATAATGCTCTTATCTTAACACTTATACGGCCATGACACTTGTGCAGCGGGGACGACTGCTGCACATAGACTACACTCTGTTCAATCCCAAGTTGACGTTACGTGCCCACTGGATCAGTCGCACAATCTTTCGTCACGTGATCATGTTGTCGCCCATACCCACACGCAGAGACCGGGGTCAGGTGATAAAAGGGATGCAGCTGATCGGCCCGGCAGGCACCTATATCTCGCCGCACAGTCGGCTTAGGGGTGAACAGGTCATGAGCAAATGACTGCCAAGCTGCCTCACCTCCTGAATGGGAGTGCTGCCATTGCTGGAATGCAGAGAGGAGTGCAGTGACAGTGAGCCATTGGGTGGCGATCCTTCGAGTGAATCAGGTTTGCTGTTGCAGCCGTCGACTGTCGAGAAACAGGCGTCAGACATTGCGACACGGCCTCCAGGAGATGCGTGCATTGTAACCGCGACCACAAAGACACTTTAGTTGCAAGCTTGTGCTCTGAGCCTAGTGTTCTGCGAAAATCAGGGACGAGATCATCTTAATTTAATTTTTAGTGTGCAACTTCTGTATAAAGTTTGCCACCTTAAACTGCATCATCACATCAAAGATCAAACAGATGAGGGACTACAATAGAACCTCTCCATAGCAAAGACTGACATACTAGTGAAGATATGGATACAATGAAGTAAAGTTGGAATATACCCATGCTCAAAATATTGGTACAGCCATTTGAGGTAGCACTAATTTGGTGGAAATACAGACATAGCAAAGGTGTTGACCGATAAAACTGATTTTATGATGGAGAAATTCTACTGCATTCAAATACTGATTCAAGATCACAGTTAGTGCAATACAGTGAGAAATAAAAGCAAGGTCACTAGTGAAAAACTTTTATGTCAGCATTGGTCGATAATGAAGTCTCTATACTTTCTGTATAGTTTTGCAGCCTGAAATAGTTAAAAGTGTTTTAGAATAAACATTACTATGGCTTAATTCTTAGTTTAATGGAAAAACATCAAGCTGCACAATAATGCTCAATTCTTATTTGCACATTTTACAATGAGTAGTCACACAACATAACATGCACAGAATTACATGTGCACATTAATCACTTCTTTGCAGAACCAAGATGCGTTAGTCGACAGGCCATGCTTCGCTCTCACAATACTCAGCGGTTATTACCTAACGAAACATACTGCATGCATCATCATCTGGTGTCAACCAATGCCCTGAAAACCAGCAGCTTTCACATCCCCAGGTCACAAATGCCTGCTTCAAAGATACCACTGGAAGCATCATACATCTAACATCTTATGACAACACCTATAGAAATCCACTAAAAACTGCAAGGCACCTAAGGTCAGTAAGCGCTCAGCTTCTCCAACTGCAGCTGTATTACCGAAAAATTGCAGCCTCAAGTGTACGCAGATATGGATAGGATATAGGGCGTAATTATAATGGTACCATCAAAACACTAGCTGACCAAGACTACATTCTTCAGTGAAAACCAATTCGAATCAATTATAAAACTACCATGATCCCAGCAAGCACTGGTTGACACTAGACCGATGACTACTTTACGAGTGGGTACTCAAAAACGCGCATACCTAAAGAATGCAACTGGAAAAGAAAAACACACTACAGTGCAGAGGAAATGCAGGAAACTCGTGACTATTCGGAACAGAACTTTCCTTTCGTTACCGGCCCATTTGTAAGACATCACCTCGACCCTCTTACAAACAATCTTCTGCGAATTTGCACCATGTTCATTCATCGGTCGGACTCGCACCCATCCACCAGACCAACGAGTTTGTCCCAAATCGTCTGTCTCTTCAGAGAGTTCCTCTGTAAATTCATTTGCCGTCTGTGGCCTGAGGCACGAAGACAAATTAAGGCCGGTTCGCATATCTGCGCCCGAGTGAGATCGACCGTATTAAGGCTGCTCGTCAGCGCTTACGACAAGAATACAAACTGGCGAGATCTATCGGCTAGCCCCAGAACACTTTCCGTCCGTGTATATGTTACGCATCATTCTTTCACCGTGTGCTTGAAATAATTCCGAGAATGTTTTAAGAGACTGTTTCTCATGGATAGTGTGCAAGTAGTAAGAGCTCCAGGGCTGCCCGAAAGACGCTGCCAGTGTGTACTATCGCCGTAAGTGTTAACCACACTCAAACGAGTGCGATCGAACGGTCCCTCCGTTTTGATTTCGGGTCGAAGCAAGACCAAAGTTTCCTGCTGAAATCATAAAGCGCAAAGGACAGATGCGGACATGAAGTAGACAGGACAGCGCTGTGCTCACAACTGGGGTACAACTACATTAATGTTTCAGTGTCTGTCCCTTGGGCTTCATAATTTCGATGTGTTGAACCTTAATATTTTACTACAAAGTTTCCTGCACTGCCCCTACGTTGCAGCTCGAGGGAACAGAGGGAGAGTGGGGAGAGAGAAAGAGGAGGAAGGGGTGCCTACTTGTAAGGGGTCTCCGCTTCAAGGGGACGGGACCCTTGTCTTTACGCCGCAGGAGCGGGCTGCTCCGCCTCTCAATTACTTTTTGCTTCAGCACAGAGCGCACTTTAAGGTTCGGTTCCGACGCTAGAAGGCAACAACAGAGCACACATGGCTTTGGTCGGCGGCCCTGCAAGCCACGCTCCCGCTTCACAGGCTAGCCGTCTGCCCCAGAGGCGGTCGCACGACAGGCGCACTCATTGTTACGGCCGTTGCTGCGGCCGTCGCTACGAACGAAGTTGGCAAAACCTGCGCATCCGCCATCCAAACACCTTTCTGGCACCTATGTGAAGCGCAAGTTCATCTGCTTCTTTCGCAGGGGTTGTGGTTACGTCGGAACGTCGAGCTCTGGTTAGCTCGGATTGCAGGATAGTGGGTAGACCTCAAGGCAGCTTGCTTTGATGTCTACCCACTACTCTTCAATCAGAACCAATGAGAGTTTGGCGTTCTGACGCCCCCATAACCCCTGCAAAAGAAGCAGACGAACTTGCACTCCGCATTACTCGAGCAAGAAATGCCCAGTCATCAAGCTGTCCGATATTACGCAGAAAGTGATTGGTGGAATGTCTATATGTCACGAGTACCTGGAATAGAGCAGCAGGATCCTTCTTGTTGAAAGTAATCTCCTGCACTACACCACAAAAAAAAAAAAAAAAAAAAAAATTGGAAGTATAAAACGGTATGAAACAAGCCCTAGATGATCACACCATTGTGACGTTATCGTGACCTCCTAGTAATGCATCCAGTGATGTAAGTGAACGCCGACTGCGTGGCTTTTTTCTTTTCCCCGTTTTTGCCGCTACTCAGGTTTTTCTAAACCACCATAGTGCGTCTACTGTTCCACCCTCGGTGAGCCTGATTGAAATGATTTTCTGTACATAACGTTGCTTTGATTGGCATCTTTCTCAATAAGTAAAAACTTTTGAGTACGTCTCACCAATTTTGTTTTTCTAAAGCAAATTTAGCACATAAACAGTTTAGAACTCATATTTGTTTTATGATATATAGTATATGAGCCTGAGAAGTTTACACTAAGCAAACCAGTTTGCCAAAGCTTGAAAGAAATTGTTTTTCCTTCAAGCCTCAAAATATTCCGTCGGGCAAGACAATAAAGAAGCAGATGACAGGCTTTTGAGAAAATGGCCGAAGCTTGTTTCCTAAGGCAACATCTTTTTCAGAAGCGCCATATATAGGACACAGCTGGTTAAAAAGAGGAGACTTTCAAAACAGAATTTGAAAGTCTTTGCATGTGTGCAGTATTTGTGACATTTAGCTGCTGTGGCCAGCTGCTCGGAGGAACAAACATGCCGCACTTCTCTGGCCAAACACAAAATGCCGTACCTTCCATTGAAGCAGAAAACATTGCCGCTGCTCTATTCCAAGGAACCATCTCAAAATGGCTAATGTATGGTGTAATAAAGCAGTAGGAAGATTGCATGCACCCGACTCTAGAGCAGACAAGGCTTAGCCTCACCAGAACAACAATGCACGTTTCTCTAACTGCATTATTTGTTGGTTAATGTACGAGGCACTCGAGAGAAATTCAGAATGCGTTTTTCTCTCCGCAAAAATAGGTAATGCGTCACCAAACGTTCAGTCTTTGCCCGAATATAGCGCTAGGGGTTGGGATGAGGTGCCAGTTCCAGAACTAGGCATTATCAAATTCCAAAGAAAAGGGATTTGGAGAAATTTTTAACAAGAAAATGGGGCCCCTTCATGGTGGCAGACACTATTCCTTTCCATGTTTTGACAGCTCCATTAAACCACCATACTCTCATTAAAAATTAAAAAAAAATTGCTTTTAATTTTTTCAATTAGATAATGGTAGGTTCTAAAACTTGAGAACCTTATCCCAACAGTTAGCACCACATTCAAGGGGAGACTGAGCATTCGGCGATGCAGAGTTTTATGTAGTGAGAAAAACACTCCTCAGATTTTTCTCAAATGCCCTGTATAACAAAAGCCACACTTTCAATAAACAAAGCAATCAATGTTAGTCTATTTGTTGGCATGAAACATGCTGTATATGCATCATTCCACAAACAAACTGTTTTGATGAAGGGTTAAAATTCAGGCAGACTAACCATACGGCTAGCTTATAAAAGCAATCAGCTTAACCCAATGGCACAACAGGGATGTAAAAACAAACAAAGCAAACGCTTAAAATTCGAAATGTTGTATTTAGTACTGGCCTAGTTTCAAGCTCAATGTCACGAAATAGAGATGAAAATAAAACCCTGAGCATAATATAACAGGTTTTAGCTCACTTCCACACAAAAAGAGTAGATTTTTAAAAATGAAGTAACCTCAGCGTTACTAACGAGCACTTTAACAAAAAGTTTTATTTTTATTTTTTATAATATTTGTTTCAGCTAGGCAACGAAAATTAGTATTTATTGTGTTCCGTCACAATATATATACATATCTTCAGTTAATCGAGAATAAAAGCTTCTTATGTTCTCTGTGTGCACTTTTACAATAAGTTGAAAATAGTGTCAACACCACTTCACAGGCAGAAAGCAAATATTACATGTATATAAAAGCAAAGCAAGCCCAAACTGGCACCCAATTCCTTAATTGTCGATATCAAGCCCTGAATATTTAAACATCTCCATTTTTCAGGATACGCCTCCATCCTTCGAGACAACAGCGCTTCATTGATTGCGATGGGAACAAACCTATCTCAATGGAAGCAGCCTGGCTGCCAAAAAGCACACAAATAAACAAGCTGATCTGCTAAGCACGCGCCAAGGAACAAAAGCAGTGCAACGCAGACAGGCAAAAGGAAAGCATGGCCCACCTGTTTTCCGAAGCGGAAAATCATCGTCATACTTCCCCAGAAGCGGATGTCTGCACTGAGGCGAAACGGCACTCGTCGACGGTGGTGAGGCCTGGTCCAACGATGACCGTTGCCGCGACCTGGCAGGGTACGATCCAGTTTGGACCAGCTCCTCGAAAGATCCTCGTAATCTCTGGTATCGTCCCACAAAGTTGTGTAGCCTAGTCCAATTTAATTTACAAGGTGACCCAAAGACAAAAATTTACATGTTTTTTTTTCACCGCGAAAATTAACGATGCATCGCCGAATGCTCAGCCTCCACCCAAACTTAGCGCTAGCATTCTGAACCACACGTCAAAGTTTCAGAACTAACCGTAATGTTATTCAAAAGTTATAAATGATTTTTTTTAAATTTTTATTAGGAAAATGGTGGTTGACGGAGCCCTTGAATACATGAAGCTGAATGGTGCCAGTTACCAAGAATGGGCTTCATTTTTCCATTGAAATTTTCAGAAAATCCCTTATGACTTTTTAATAAGATAACGATTAGTCCTGAAACACAGACATCTGGTTAAGACCACTAGAGCTACACTTGGATGGAGGCTTGAGTGTTTGCAGATGTGTCGTTTATTTCTGTGGTCAAGAAAGCTCCGTAAATTTTTTTTGGAGGACACGCTGTAGTCGAGTTAAGCCAAGTTAAACCTAGTCAAGTCTAGCTGAGCCAAGTCAAGCTTAGCCAAGTCAAGCCGAGCCAAGTGAAGTGAGGTCAAGCCTAACCTAGCTTAGTCATGCCAACGTTGCTAAAACACTCAGTTGGGAAACTCGCCTTTGAAACATGAGCCACTTGTGTCTGCAGAGACCAAACTAGATATGATAACAGCGCAGCCCTTTAGCGACGAGTCAAAACATGAAAGTCGATTTATATAGCTACTGCGAAATGGCACTGCGATAAAGCGCCACCAGCCTTAGCGTGACTCGACCTGAACCAATACGAGCAGCCGTGCAGTTCCCAAAATAGCCGCCGCGGCAGAAATGGCAGCAATGCGATCGTTTTTAGTTCGGTTCTCGAGTACAGATCAGAGCCATTTTTTCAAGGCAGGTTCTATGGCGCAGTTTCCCAACTGAGTTTTTCTATCGTTCTAGTAATGTTGGCCAAGCTTTTAAATACTATAGCCTAGACTTGCTTGTAGACATGCTGTCTAGGCTATAGACAGCATGTCTATAGCCTAGACATGCCTAGACATAGTCTAGGCATGTCTATAGCCTAGAACTTCACACATGCAATGATGTATCTGACAAGAATACTATAATGGTAAAATAAAATCCCGTGAAGTAAATTATTCAGCCATTAAATATCTGTCTGTTGTATCAGCAGTAAGCATTAAATTGACTTGCATTTACCCACGGTAAGGCATTGCTCAAGTCTTGATAAGTTTATCGAAGGCAGCTGTTATAAAAGTAGGTTGCCATAATTGTTTGGCTGTTATATCCAGGTCACAAGGTGCAAAAATGACGAAGAAAGCTTTCATAAAACTTCTGTAATTGACTTCAAAACCTCCCAAGTTTATTTTCTGACTGTGTATAAAACTATTTTTGAAGTGGAGTCAATGCTACTTTTGTCATAAGACCATGTCTCTAAAAAAATAAATAGAGACTGTAGACTCACCAGTTTCTGAAGTTTGGTGGTGATGTGTTTGCACTGTTGGCAGCTGCCTCTCTCTGTTTCTTGCTCAGCACAAATTCCTGCAGCCTTTGTTTTACTTCTGATGATGCAATGGCACCTGTGAAGGTACAATAGAAATATGTTCAGAATGTCTTCAGATAAATAAATGCTGCCATTATATAGTTTCTAGAAAGTGGGACCATCTTTGCTGGCAATCATGCCAAGAAACATAAACTGAGGCTCAAAAAAAGGATTTTTAAAGTTTTTTATTAACCACATACAATACACCAAACTAAAAACGTGTTCAAATTGTTTGCCATAACTTCACATACTGTAAACCTTAGTCCAACCAAACGGTTCCTTTCTTTGTGCCGAATCGGTAGGCAATTGTCTCTATGATAGCTCAAGAAAATTGTGTCAGTGATGATTACTTTCTAGTATATATTTTTCTTTTGCTTAAAGGCCGACGACCAGACTCGAGATTCTGCAAGGCAGAAAATCCTCCTCACCATGGGAGAGGAGGAAACAGGCAACGGTGATCAGTGTAAAAGGGGGGAGAGGAGGAAGTGGGAGAAAAGTGGAAAGTGCGAACTGGTTGTCGGTCTTTAATGTATGTCCGAAGCTCCTGAGGCATGCTAGTCGTTTGGGGCACAATAAACATGGACTGATTGGTTGATTAAATGATATATCATACAGAATAAGATAGCAAACATTTCTTTTACTTCAAATCAAGGGCTAGGATAGACTAAAAATGTTTGGACAGAGAGAACCTGACCTATTATAAACTCACAGCACCGATCCTGATTTTTTCACAAGTCGACAAAGACGTAAGTAACTGCACCATTACAATACAGAAATGAGGATTATACCAGTCCGTCAAAACGCACTACATCCACATTGGCTTTCACTGTCTCGAAGATTCGGCATTCCAGAAGCCACTAGAGAGCTATTTCTGTCCCGTTCACACGCAAACAGAAAACGCCAACCGTTGCATTAGGCACATAGTTTGCATCACTAGCCTGGATGAGGGACGAAAATACTGATGCTATATCGGTGCACCGGAATTTTTATGTTGGCTTCTCCGGGGGCGGTGAGAATTAAGAGACGAGGGTGAAGGGAGAGATGGGGACTAGCCGTTACGCAATTCCCATTGCTGCTTCACAAATCTCCCGCCGCGTCATCGTGTTTTTCCTGGCACCCACTAACGGGAAGAGACATTCAGTAAAACGGAGCTTACTTCCATTCAGTGAAAATAGAAAGTGGTGGAAGGGGCCAGAAAGGCAGCTGCTCGGATTGGCGAGTTGTGCGTCGGGGCCCCGGAACAGTTCTTGGCGTATTCAGAAAAAGCGACGGGAATGTTACATATCTTCCCCACCGACTCGTCTGACGTAGCAATGTGCGTGCCAGATGAGTAAGAAAGCAGCTCGCTTCGCAAGATGGTGTGGAGCGAAAGGATCTCGGATGGAAAATGAAATATAGATTCCAACTTTCAGCTTCGCCAGAAATACCTGCACAGTGTGTAATCACTCTATCTCTGGGGCACTTGCATGAGTGCATCTGGCAAACAGAACTAGAAAGAAAAAAAAAAAGCTTCAAGACGCCGAAAAAAGAGTTGTATAGCTACTGGATCGCCGAATCTGTACGGTATATATCACACTCTTGCGAGTTTTTTCTTGGGGACGGTATTGAGCTTGTTCGGTCTTTGCCATCCTTCCGTGCCTTGCAGCTTGCGGTACTGTGGCAGCAGTACCCCGCATACTCTAGAAAAAGATCTTAAAATTCTTATAAAAATTAACTTGCTACTCTTCAGGGATGCAGCTACACCCTGCCCCTGGGCTACCTCGAGACCTTTCGGGCATTAGCCGCCTTGGTGGCTCTTAGGCAAAAGCTGGCCGACAATCCCCAGTTGGCGGGTTTGAATCCTGGCCAAAGTACCTGCAATCGTGACTTTGAGGGGGGGGAAGAGCCCATTACAGCTGTAATGTACCATCATCTGGTGGTACATCAAGAGACAAATATTTATTTATTTTCTTTTTCGTTCTCACTTATAAATTGTAAATTGTAGTAAAGAGGAAAGTATGGGACGCACTCTGCTCGTGCTTGTCCTTCTTGCGGAGTTGGTCCAGCTGGCGGTCCTTCTCCTGGCGCTCCCGCTCCAGCTTGTGCTCCTCCTGCAGCTGGCGCTGGTGGTCCAGGTACTCCTTGATGCGCTCCTGCAGCTGCTTCTCGTGCTGCTGGGCCAGCTGCTGCTGCTGCCGCTGGTAGTGTTGCAGGAGTAGCTGCTGCTGCACTTGCTGCTCCTGCTTCAGGGCCAGCAGCTGCTGCTGGAACTGCAGGTGCTCCTGCTGCTGCTGCTGCTGCTGGAGCTCCCCTGCAGAAGCGTCATGCACAAGGCATGTCATCATTCTGACTACTGTCCGTAGCAGGTTAAGAATAGTACCAGCTAGGACAAACTCCTCCCGTAAAACCCTCCATTCTTCAGCAGAGCTAATGCTGGAAAGAAAGAAACAACCAATTGTGGCAGGTAGAGTTTCATAGGAGGGAATCGTCCTACTATTTTAAACCTGCAACAGACAATAGAGTCAAAGATGAGGCCTTTCAGCTAATCGCGATGCAATTCGTAATTTAAAGGGTGCTGGAAAGTATAATTATATTTAGCGAGCCTCCACTTTAAGTCCCCCACACGTCGTTTTCGTGCCTGTTTTCGGTTATTTTGTCCCCTATGAACAAATGCAAATGAGAAAGTGAAAGATTTTAAATTAAGTTGAACATGCAGACTGCTATGTGCAACTTGTGGCAATTCTAGATTAAAACACACACCACCACCTTTTGCCTTATCTACTGTGATGACACTAAACCAGCAGCAGCTGGTAAGTGATGACATGGTTAGGGATGTGCATGTATATGACCAGAAGGCATGTGCATGACGAAGGCATGCCCACGACTAAAGTCTTCAAGCATCCCTAGAGTACTGCATTCATGTTTCCATAGCAGGACTACAATAGACTCTTGAAGAAGAAGAAGAATACAACTTTATTGTCCCAGCACTGTCAGTGGGGTGACGGGTGCAGCCGTCTCATCCACCGCAGTCCTAGAAGACGGCCGAGATTGAAATGGTCGCCTACAGTTAAACTGTTGCAGGCAACGAAAAAATGTGTTTGTCAGTCACCCAGTCGCACTCCAGCAAATGACAAACAAATTATTGTTTTGTGCCAGCTTGGTAGGGGGAAGGGGGGATGCAAGAGAGGTGACCAGCACACCTGCTGATGCTGGCGATGCTGAAGAGGTCTGCTGAGGCTGGGGACCCTGTGGGTGCTGGGGAGTAGGCCCCTGCGGGTGCTGTGGAAGTGGTCCCTGGTGTGGCGGGTGGGGCGGGGATGGCAGCATGGTGCCCGCCAGCCCACCCAGGAAACCCATAGTCCCTCGCTGGTCTGGCAAAACACATTCACAAAAATGAGTGATAAAAAAAAATTCTGCCCCCAAACACAAATGAGCCAATGCAGTTTTGAACTGCCTCTAAAAAATACAGGGTGTCATGAATTGAGTGTCTCGCTCTAATATGAACCGGAAAGATGGGTGCCCGTACATGGCAAGCTCAAAAGTCCACCAAATGTGTAATTTAGGGGTGCATTTTACCTTGCGAAATTCCAAGGTGCTACTCCCTTCCTCTAAATATTAGACTAACACTTGACATTTTCAATGGTGGATGCCGATCCAGACGACCAAGTTAAGAGAAACTTGTGCTTGTGGTGCCATCTCCCGATAGGTGCAGCGAGCAAATTGTGGCGATGGCGTCGTCTGTTCTCGACTGAGGGTTGTCGTCTGCGTACTGTGCCCATCAGGAGATGGCGCCAGAAGCACAGTCCTCGAGGGTAGTGCCTGATGGACACAGTACGCAGACGACAGCGCTCAGTCGAGAATAGACGACACCATCGCCAGAATTTGCTCGCTGCACTTATCGGGAGATGGCGCCACAAGCACAAGCCTCTATTAACTTGTTTGTCTGCATCAATGTCCACTGTTGAAAGTGTCAATAGCATTCATTGTCTAATTTTCCACAGTAAGGAGGCTATGCCTTAAAGTTTTGTAAAATGCAAAACTAAAATGCATGTTTAGTGAAAGCTTGAACTTGTCCTGTCCTGTGCGAGCACCTATTTTTCCAGATGATTCTAAACACAGCCCCTTGGGTCACGACACTCTATATGTGCTTAAATATCGGTGTCTAAAACAAAATTTGGGCTTGCCTAGAGGAGGGTACTTTTTTTTTCCTCTCAAAGTGGAAAAGCTAATATTTTACTTCAAGTCGGAGTGCTATGGCCCTAAGGAACAGTGGTGTCGGAAGTCGCGAGTAATCAGGTCATGCCAGACACATACATGTCGTAATTTTTTAATGAATGGCCCTAGCTGTGCTGCGGCAGAGTGCCTTTTTTCCTTTACAAGTATCTCTTTGTCCTAGAATCTACCTGACAACCTGTTCCATAACTGACAGTCAACGAACCAGTTACTTTACTCGACCATTCACTTCTCCGATGTCATGCAAATCACAAAATTGATAAATTAACGCATACACAAATCAGAATAACCCTGGTACATGCTCTCAATAAAAAAACCTTTGGCAGAACTGAAAGAAAAAATCCCAAAGAAACACAGGTTTTTGAAATTATTCCTCATTTTTAACTTCCACCCTTCATGTGTCACTTGTTTTATTTTGCTGCAGATGACTCATTGCTGAAAGTGTGCGAGACCCAACTGCTACAGCAGATAAGTCAAGGTGAGTTGCGTTCCTGCTTTCGTTTTATGACTTTACACTACTGATAACCACCTGCAGACACGCGCCTATGCAAGAACATAAGAGATATATGATGCAACCAAGCGCTAGAAACATACTACACATATACATTACATAAAGCTGGGAACTAGAGTATAAAAATTCTAATGAAAATCAGCATGAATAAATAAAAAATAAGTACTGAAAACCAAAATGGCCCCTTTCTGAATATAGACCTGCATTCACACGTACAGCCCATGAAATCCAACAAGAAGAGAAAGTATGTTAGGCGCTTCAAACAGGTATAGACTTCTACACTACTATATTTCGTTTAAGCTTACATTGGACTGCAAAGACTCTACAAGCCCTTGGAGCCAGTTCAATATGCTGTGTGATAGTCATGTGACCTTCCAGAGGGGCGTAGCAATGCAGGAGGTGCAATCGCAAGATATGTTCACAGAGCTGGATTGGCTAGCACGACTCATTGAGTCAGCTGTGATCCATCGTAGGGTGAAGAAGAGTATATAGGCTGAATTTTGCTCAAGAAACAACTATAAATTCACTTACCGTAAAATACCGGGCAAGCGCCGACTCAAACTTTGGAGATAATCGCAAGAAAATGGGGGATGGGCGGTTGTTTGATCATCAAGTTTACATATAAATGTACTCTGCATATTTTCTCAGATCTTACAAATTTGGTAATGGGCGCACTTAACTTTGGCTCCTAGTCGTACGGGTAGCAGCTGCCTAGCTCCCAGAACCAGGACAATATTAGTATTTGCAGCTATAGTGGAAGAAGATTCTAAAGGTTGGGAAAGTTTTGGTACAATGATCTCACCAAGAATCATACTCAGGGGCTCATGTGCGCAATTATTCTTGTGCCTTTGCCTAATATGTAAGAGACATGTGCTGGACGCACGGCAAGCTAGCTCTTTTCTAGGCGGTGTGCCTCGTGATGCAAAAGTTAAACATAGCACACTACAGGAAAGCTTACTCCCCAGCAACTGGAAACTTTTTAATTGCTTTTTTGTTGTTTTCACTAACACACTGATGTCTGTTGTAAGCACTCATATATAGAGCTTGTGCAGCTGCAAGTGTTCAAACAAGCCTACATGAACAAAGCACAACTCTCGAAATAAAAAAAAAGCAATAAAACCCTCCCACATTTTCAGAAAAATGTGGAAAGCAACGGCGCCCTTCACGACAAAAAAGTAGTTTCGGCTTCCTTTTCTTTTAAACTCGTGCGATTGCATCTCTATCGACACGACAGGAAAGAAAGACGAAGACATGGTACTTTTCAATGATACTTATTTTGGATCAACCCTTTTCGGAGAACGACGTGGTTTTTGAACGATGTTTGAACGATTGCAGCCCTGCAATCGACCGCTTCTGCTCAAAACTTCGCCCTGGCATTAGCACCCGCCACAAATCGGCCAGTAAATTGAGCGTATGGTTGTATCGTAAACTGTTCCCGAAGAGCTCGCTACTCTAGTTGACGGCAGTTTGAGGCAATGGACGTTTATACAAATTTGGTTGGTTTCGCAGCAGACAATTCTTGGACAGCACACGACAGCCAGTTCCTCTGGGCCTTGCATTTGGCCCAGTGAGACATATGCTTCCATGACTTGGTGACACTCTTATTGGGTTGTGGGGGTCGTAGCCTCCACAGTTTGCCAAATTATAGTGAAACTGAGTATACTGTAAACGGCTAAATTTTCGCAAAAACCTAATTTTCGCGAATTTCGCGAATCGCCTACAATTTGCGAAAAATATGTCCCGCGAACAATTCGGGCTATATGTGAACACTACGGAAGATACACTCGATTCGCGAAAATTAGAACCCGCGAATAATTTCAAATTCCCAGCTTTGGCCCAATTCGCAAAAATTTGAGCCCGCGAAAATTAAGTCGTTTACAGTATATAGAGTCTGCGATATAGACCGTTCCATTAGGGTCATAGCAGAGAGGGTAAAAGAGAAAAAAATACACTCCCCCTCTCACCCCGCATCTCGTCCGCACCCCCGAGTGGGCTGTAGCTAGCGTCCGGCTGGCGTGCAAACTTTGTTTAAAATCGCGTCATTTTGGAACTTTCAAGCGCAGATGCGCAGATTTTGGTATGCCAGTTGTCGTGTAATATTATGCTAGATAAAAAGACTCGCAGGGTCCAATTGCGCTGTTACCTGCGTGCAAATAAAAAAAAAATAATAATAAAATAAGGAAAACACTGTCAGATTGGCCGGTCTCTTTGGCGAAGAGTAAATCCGGTTGCTGTACCTTTTTTACTATACAAAAGTTCGTACTGGTGTGGGCCTTTAGCGACCATGAGTGGAAGTCTGAAATAATAAATAAAACGTGCTCTCCTGCCGCAATACAAGCAGTAGTTGAGGGTAGTACTGCCGGCTGACTCAATTGCTATATAAGTAACGGAAAAAAATATATGCCCGTTGATCATTTAGTAAAATAGAACAACAGAAAGCTGTAGGATAATTTTGGAGTAGCCACAACTATTCTAAGAACACGAACCACTTCACAACGGCAGCCACGAGCGAGAGTTCGATGTTCGGTAGAGCCCGCCGATACAGCCCAAAGATGGAGAAAGGCAACCTCCCGGTTTGTCGTCTGCTAGCGGAGTCTGGCGCGTGCCCTCTCTCTTGTTTTACCCTGCCGAACCCGCTGAACTTCCCGGATGTGTGGAGAGGGCGCTGCGGGCGAACAAAATGGTGCCGCCCAGAGAGCGCTAAATGGAATGGTCTATAGCTCTGCAGCACGAGCTTGTCGCTGCTACTTACAAGCCACCACGAGTCATTGTGTTCAGAGCAGCGGGAACAGCACTAATTGCTGTAAAGACAATTGATTGCTGGCTGCAACCATGTGACTATACTGCCGGCATATTTTTGCAGGTATCATATTTTCGTATGTATCACTGGAACATGTACCACTGAGGCAAAAAACAAAAAGCAAAGCCAAGAGACAATATTACTTAAAAAAGTTAAATGCTACAAAAAAAAAAATAAGGAAAATATGTTGGCATACCTTTTCTTTGAAGATCACTGTAGGGAGGATTAATTTCCATAGTATGGTGGGACCCCAGATTTTCTGCAAAACACAGACAAAACATACACATCAGACCCTGTTGCCATAGCACATACAAACTGTCTGGGCAATTCAGAGTGTCTAACACATATCTGCACGGTAATACTTGCTTGAAAGATCTAACCCAAACATGATTTCTAACTATTTGCAACTACTGCTCATTATTATCCATGCCCATCTAAAAAAGGTTCCTGAAAAGAAACTCCACCTTCGTGTAGCAAGTTCAGAGAACTCTGACATACCTTAGGGATGTCCCCTTTTGCTTTTGCCTTATCTTTGGAAAGTCAGCAAAAAGATAGTACATATAAGCATGGACTTTATCAGTTCTTCTTATCTCTTGCTCTGGGAAGAAGCAACAAAGGTCCATCAGTTTCCTTCCCCCATTTGTCCTGGCTGATGGTCTCTTGCTGTGAGCCATGCCTAACAAGACCAGATAAGAAGTACTCCCTCAGTCACAACCTCCCCTCTTCTTATTTTACTCTTACAAGCCGAGGCCAAAGAGTCCATTAGCTTAGATAACAGCATTAGAGCCTCCACACACTTCTGCAACACAAATGATAAAGTGCTTCTTTTAAGGTGTGGTAATGAGGGTAGAGAGCTCTTCCCCCCCCCCCCCCCCCCCTTTTTTTTTTTCAGTAAGGGAATACTTGTAGCCTAGATCGAGTAGATTGTCTGAAATGTGGCCAGGGTTGAGAGAACAGAATCAAACATTAATTTCGTTAGATTTAACAAGAAGCTGAACATTCTTAGGGCAACCTCTTGGTCACATTTATTCAGAGAGAGAGGGAGTCACATAGCGTGAAGAGAACTAATTACTAATCAATGATGTCCATTTCCTTTTAAGCCTTGCAGAAAGTATTAAATGACACTGATATAAGCTGATTTTGCACTAAAAATAGCAGAAGACTTGACGTTCCATCATAAAATTTGAGAAAACCTTCAGCGACATTCTTTTTGTAGAATTTCTGAGAAAGCAAAATGCCACATCAGATATGACAGCAAGAGCTTTTTTCAGAAACAATGTTACATCATTGCGAGTGACCTTGTATCACGCATTGGTCGAAAGATCCATCAAAATGCCAGCATGTCTGGATGCTCGGTGAAAGCGTAGACAGCAGCTCAAAGAATGCAAGCTGCAGTATCACAATTTGTATTTGACGGCGATGCGATTGCTGGGACATCTGACAAGCATCCCATTCAGTGTATGTATTGAGTAAGCTCTGCAACAAGCGTGAACAGACATTGTTAAAATATATTTTTGTCTTCGCACTGGGACATACATGACCGTTCACACAGACATGACATCGGCACATATTAGAATCTTCATAATAAAGTTAGAATCTCCCACTTAACTATATATAGTGCCTAAATTTTGATGACATTCCAGTGCAATAGTTATCTTAATGATTTCATTTGCACTGGTGGAAAAAAAAAAAAAAATACGCTATCACATTTTTGTACGTTGTGATCCACAAGAAAGTGATAATCCTTTAGCTGGACCTCATGGGTTCCCAACATGTGAAAGTCGGAAGCATTGCAGCACATTTTGTCTTACACAGTATGTACAGTTTTCTGCAAAGCTGTAACGCAGATGCACCTGTGAGGTCACACTGGCTGGTGTCGGTACAAGAAAAACTGAAACTGGGCTAAACCACGACAATATAAGGAAGATTGCAACGCTGCGTGCATCTGTAGTAATCCAACAAATACTGTTTCGTCTTGTGCGCTATTTTACCCCGTGAATTACACAGCAACGAGCCAGAGTTTACACCTTGTTTCCATGCTGAAGTGTGGCACTGTAAGTTCTCATAGCAACATAGTACTTTGTTTTCAATTTGCCAAACGAAAAGTACCAGAGTAATCTGTGTGACTTCAATTCGGTAAGTTAACAATACTTTGTGTTATATAGTTCATGCTATCGTTTGTTTGCTCTTTGAAGACAAGGCTTTAGAGCAAGCTGACAGTGGCCACCTAAATTCACCTTAAACGACAGGAGGTTGCTTGCCACCCCCACCAGTTTTGTTTTGGTTTGAGCAATGTTGTTGAGTGTATGTGACAATGTTGCAGAGGTCCCTCCACAGTGGCAAAATAAGGTGCCATCGCTGATTGCATGCCGGATAAAAATCTCTGCAAAAGGTTAGACTTATCTGAAAGGGTGAAAACCTCCATAAGTCATACGGTGTTCATATTCCCTCATACACATGCATACAGTAGAGCAGGGTGCAACGCACCCACAGATTCATTCTTCTCATCAAAATAAAAGAGATGGCTCGAGGCGCAGCACGAGCACGCGCCACGGAGAGCTCGTGCAAGAGAATGCTCTGAAGCCGCCATCACAGGCAGACACATCGTTCGGTTGTCTCATTCAATATCCTCACTTTAAATAGTGTGGTAGCCTCGCGGCCCCCACAGTAGCATTAAAAACAAGAAAAATATTCTTAAAGTAAAACGCTTAAAGACAGGGACAGAAGAGAACAGATGCTAACAGGACGCTGAGTCCTAGCTGTTATCAGGTTTTCTTTTAACCCTGTATTTACCCGTTTTACTTCAAGAATGTACAACCAACTAGCCCAACTTGCGAATCCTGGAGAAAAGCTCACCGCGGAACCGGCGGATGTGGAGAAAAGCTCACTGGCCATTGAGCGTATGCGGAGAAAAACTCGCTGATTTTTTTTCTTCTTTTCATGTGGAGGTTGTTGGATCATGCGTAACATATACAAATTTATTTTCATTAAAATTTGTCAGCTTTCTAAAAAAGAAAATGTCCTTTTTTGTATTATTTGTTAAGCTTATCGGGTATATTGCTCCCAAATTAATAACTGCGGGCGAGTTTTTTCTGTGGTTTACTCTCTAAGCAACAAAAGCCTAACTGAGATCTTTATGCACTTGGAGAACACAAAAAAGTTTGAAAACTTAATAATATCTGCCTAAAACCTAAAAATCAAAACTGTAAATGCCGAAAATTCGAAAGTGCATGCGCATCAATGCGGTGCCTGAAATTCTCTTTGAAGCTTTGTTAACCTTTGAAAACAAGATAAAACTGTCGGTAGATATCGAGGTTTCTTTCTTCCACGGAAAAGCATGTTTTCTAGCCGTTCGTGTTGGTGTTTCTACACGTTGCCTTTGTGTGATAGTGCCTTTCTACGGCGAGCCACCCTTGACTTTCAGAGCTGCACCCTGTCACCGCTGTTACTCGTGACCTATATAATAACTAGTCTTCTGTAAGCTAGCGAATTGGGCGAGTTGGTAAACGTTATACATGATGAAAACCGCTCAAACGACGGCGACGGAGTGAAGACAAGAAACACAACAGGACAAAGGTGTTCTCGCAACTAAAAATTTGTTAGTGAAATTAACACAAAGAAAACAGCGTGGTCGACACTGATTACATAAACAAACACCTACTTACCTATCAGGCACTACACAATCTTTGGAACTGAAGTGATTCGCACACCGCTATTCATATTAGCTCGCAAAGAACAAACCTTTTTATCTGACAAAGATACCAAGGGCGCACTGTCAGCTGCCACTAAATTGTTGTCTTTTTTTACTGGTGTCTGATGTTCTGATTTTATACCCTTGCGGCTTCATAAATATACAGAATGGGTGATTACTAATTTCTGAGGAATTAGTAAATATGCCCAGTGAACTTCAAGAATGCTACAAAAAAGAGGACATATTTTTAATGAAGTGACGAATTCGAATTGTGTTAAATTGCCAAGTGTGACACAGAATCTGCTAAGCTAAGAAAAAGCATTTAAAAAATCTGTGAGCTTTTTTTTTGCATCCACTCAAAGGCTGGTGAGCTTTTCTCTGCTGCCCCCAACTAAGAAGTCAAAACTAGCCTTCAGACCAAACAGGTCATGTCAGGGTTGACACCGAATAGACAATCTTGAACTGCTCGATATTACCATTGACAAGTTGGTCATACGTCCAACCAATCTTCATCCAAGAAGTGGGTGCCTGCTATTCTGAGCAGGTCTGACGGCTGTGTTACAAGACACCCATTAAACTGCAGATCGATTTTATGGCCGTGAGTGACGATTTCTGCAACTTATACGCCCGCAAACTAAAAGGACCCAACCGTAGTGAAAGAACCATCGACACACGTGCTTTCGTTCCCAAGTAGCGAAAAACAAAATACACCCTTGGAAAGCTCTGGCGAAGTCTAGGGTTCACTCCGATCAATGAAACACTCGGTTTTTTTCGGCAAAAAAGCGACGAACCGGCGCACAAAGACCAAGCGCAGAAGAAGAAGTCAGAGAGGGAGTGGAGGGGTGTGGGGAGAGGAAGCGGCGGCCGGTGGCATTTATTTTAAACACACGTGGCCCAATCTCGCCGGTCGAATTTAGCAACAGCGTGACCTTGAATGGCGGCACGTTATTGGCCCGCTAGCGTCGGCGGCGCGCTTCGCCGCTGCGCATGCGCGCCGGGCCAATCACGAGGGGATACACGAGGCCCACCAGCACTCGTTAAAAGTCGTATTGCGCCGCCTAAATATAGCCGCTGCCTGGAACGGCGTGCATACACACACACACACACACAGACACGGCGTGCGGAAAACTCCGAAGCAGCGGCGGGCACGGAACAGCAGAAGCAGCAGCACCCCAGCAGCGTCCCCCTTGGTCTCGCGCAGGCGCACAAGCACGTGCCATCGATCGCTATCGCGCGCGCCTCCCAAGGAACGCGGGAGCGTCACCCACCCACGCGTTCGCGGGACGCGGCCTTGTGTAACGCGACTGACGTCGTGACTGACGCCGTTCTCCATATCTTGTTACTCTTTTAGCACGCGTAGGAAGAACAACTTGCTAGCACCTCACACCAACTCGAGCAAAAAGAAAGAAAAATGCGCCAGGTTTTGCGCATAGTTTATACGCCGCGTGTTGGGAAGTATTTTAAGCCCATTGTACTTAAAGTGCTACTTAAAATAGGTTTAGAAAAACGTGTGCCTTACTTGAGGTACATTCACTGACTATGTAATTGTAGTACGTATAGTATCTTTACTGGCTCCTTCCGAGGACAGCACAACT